GTAAGATCAGGTTGAGTAACTATTAGATACCTCAAGCTTCCAATCAGTTGTTTGAATACGGTTGGGTCAACAGCATCTCCAGCTCCTTCTTTTGACAGTTTGTGACCTGGTACCATTGGGTTCTTCACTGAATTACTCTCCTCCATTCCAAACTTCTTCAATACTTCTGAAGCATACTTTTGTTGGTTGATAAAGACTCCACTCTCATCTTGAATTACTTCAACTCCCAAGAAGAACCTCATTAAACCGAGATCTGTCATTGAAAACTCCTTCATCATCGAGTTCTTGAATCCTTCTATCAAAGTGGCTGAGCTACCTGTGTAGATAAGATCATCAACATACAGACTTACTATTAGAATCTCTTCGCTTTCTTTCTTTATGAACAGAGTGTGTTCACAGTAACACTTCTCAAATCCTTCTCTCTGAAAGTACCCTTCTATCCGGTTGTAGCAAGCCCTTGGAGCCTGCTTTAAACCATACAATGCTTTCTTCAATTTATAGACCTTCTCTGGTTCGTCTTGTGCTTCAAACCCATCTGGTTGCTTCACATAAACATCTTCACTCAACTCACCATGTAAGAAAGCACTCTTCACATCTAGTTGGAACACTTTGCAACCTCTTTGTGCTGCCAAGGCCAGTATAGTTCTAACTGTATCCCACCTTGCAACAGGAGCAAATACTTCATAAAAATCAATGCCATACCTCTGATCATACCCCTTGGCCACCAATCGAGCTTTGAACTTGTCTACTTCACCTCTCTCATTGAACTTGGTTTTGAATATCCACTTCACACCAATAACTTTGCCTCCTTCTGGTAATGTCACCAACTCCCATGTGTCATTCTCCTCGATAGAATCTATCTCCAGTTCCATTGCCTTTCTCCATTTCTCTTCCTTCACGGCTTCACTGTAACACTCTGGATCATCGTTGTTGGTGAACATGACAATGTTCCACTCTTCATCTTCTTCAACAAATAGCCCCATTTGTCCAGAGACATAATCCTTCATCCACACAGGAGCGCGCTTACGTCTTCCACCAGATTCTCTTTGAGTAGCCCCACTTGAGTTTCCCACTTGAACTTCTTGATCTCTTCTTTCTTCTTGCGTTACCTCATGTTGCTCCTCTGTTACAGGATTGTCTGCAGTTTCCATTTGAGGTTCTTCATCATCTATAAGTCTCTCCCAGACATAACCATTCTTCTGTTGATTTTCTTCCCACTCCCATCCATAAGTTTCATCAAACTTAACATCTTTGCTGATGATTACCTTCTTTGTCTCTGGATTATACAACCGATACCCCTTGGATTCTTTGCTCACTCCCACCAAGACACACTTTATGCTCTTCTCATCCAACTTGATTCTTCTTTCGTATGGGATCATTGCGTAAGCAACACATCCAAAAGTCCTTAGGTGCGAGATTGATGGCTTATGACCACTCAATTTCTCCTCTGGTGTAGTGTCTTCAAGCTCCTTTGATGGACTTCTATTGAGGATATGGACCGCGTACTGTGCTGCTTCTGCCCAGAAGATTCTAGGAACAGACATTCCCATCAACATACACCTAGTCATGTTCATGACTGTCCTGTTCTTTCTCTCTGCTATGCCATTTTGCTGTGGTGTGTAGGCAGTCGTTAGTTGTCTCTTAATCCCCTCCTCTTTACAGTAATCTTCAAAGGCTTTAGAGTTGTATTCTCCTCCACGATCTGACCTGAGACAAACAAGAGGTTGTCCTAGCTCCCTTTCAGTTACTGCTTTAAACTCTTTGAAGATCTGTAATGCTTCTGATTTTTCTTCAATGAAGTAAGTCCAACACTTCCTGCTGTAGTCATCGATGAAGTTTATCATGTACCTCTTTCCACTTGTAGAGGTTGGGTTTATAGGTCCACAGATATCCGTGTGAACCAGCTGAAGTCCTCTGCTTGACTTCCATGTACTCTTCTTGGGAATGTTCTCACGGTTTTGTTTCCCCTTCATGCATATCTCGCAAACTCGTTCTTCTTCCTTTGATGTGAACCGTGGTAAACCCCTCACTAGTTCCTTTTCAGCCATCTCACGCATCCCTGTGTGACTAAGGTGTCCAAGTCTCTTGTGCTACACGTCCTCCATTTTTACTTCAGCTACTTGAAGATACTTCTCTTCTCCTTCTTCTTTACTACCCTTCATTAGTGCTCGTATCACAAACATTCTGTTTTTACTCATAGAGGATTGCATCAGAAGTCTCCTCTGTTGTTTGTGCCAGATTTCACACCTATCATCTTCAATGACTATCTTCAAACCCCTTTGCTGAAGTTGTCCTACGCTTAGTAGATTGTTCTTGAGTCCTGGCACATAATACACAGAGGTAATGGTTTGATTAATACCATTAATTTTCACACTGAGGTTTCCTCTTCCTTCTACACTCATTCTTCGATCATCTCCCAGTTTGACGTTGGTGCGAAAGTTGTCATCAAAGTCTCCAAACCACTGTCTGGTACCACACATGTGATTGCTGCATCCTGAGTCAAGAAACCAGGCATGTTCCTCATCTTCTTGAAGTCTGGTTTCCACATGTGTCATGAGAAGAACATCTTCTTCAAGTTCAGCATAGTTAACATTCTTCCCCCAATCTGGACACTCTGACTTGTAGTGACCCTTTTTCTGGCATTTGTAACATTCAACAAACTCTTTGTTGAAACTGGAACTTCCTCTTCCTCTGTCTTGATACCCACCTCGACCTCTGGAGTAAGAGCCACCACGTCCTCTTCCACCTTCTGACTTCCAATTTCCTTCAATCTTCAGAGCTTGGTCTTCACTGACATGCCTAACCAGTTTCTGTTCATGTACCATCAAGGAGCTCTGCAACCCATCTACTGTGAGATCCTTTATGTCGTTGGACTCTTCTATAGCACATATTATGTAGGTGAATTTCTCCACCAACGTCCTTAAGACCTTCTCCACCACCTTGGAATCGTCTAGTTGTTCTCCTAGATTACGCATATCATTTACCACCAGCATAACCCTTGAAAAATATTCTGCAATAGCCTCACCTTCCTTCATTTCAAGGACTTCATAGTCACGACGCAGTCTTTGAAGTTGAGCACTTTGAACCTTCTCATTTCCTTGATACTTTCTCTTCATAGAATCCCAGAGTTCCTTAGCCGTCTCCTTCTTCAACAGGGTCTTGAGAATTGTCTTGTCAATCGATGCATACAGGTAGTTCTTTGCCTTGAGGTCCTTGAGAGTTAGCTCCGCCAGTTCTGTTCTTTGAGCACCCATGAGAATCACGCTTCTTTCTGGTCTCGTGATCCCTGTCTCAATGAGCTCCCACCATTTTTTAGACCTGAGCAAATTCTCCATCAATATAGCCCAGTACTCGTAATCTCCATCAAACTTTGGAATGCTCAGTAGTGAATCTCTTTCACTCATTGTTACTCACTTGTATCAGGTTCGTAAGAGGCTCTGATACCACTTGTTGTTTCTGAAACTGTTTAGAACACAAGAGCTGAGAGAATTGCTTGTTTATTTCAATAGAAGGAAGATCCTTAAATAGATGGATACAGAAAACAAATGACTCCGAAACTTACTCCTCAAGTCTCTCTAACAACTTGACTTGATCAACTTATGTAAACTACTTATTGACTCCTAAAACTTAGGAAACAAACAAAGACTCGATCCACGACCTAGTCATAGAATTCATTCTTCATCTTTCACTGGCATCTGATAAAAACAATCCCTCCGCTTTCTCAACCTTCCCAGACCTAAGAAACCCATTCAACATCGCTGTCTGGAACATTCAAACCAGGCGGAACTGCTCGTGACATCTAGATCCGGATTGAAAATTAGTTCCGCAATAACAAGGAAGCCAGAGCCATTCAGTTTGATAATGATCTTCGAAATCCAGACTTACTCTAATAAGCTTAAATCCCTGTCGAATCTTATCGCCAGTGTTGACACTCCGGTTGCTAATTGTACATTTGTCATGTACATGCTAAATCGTCTCAACGAACACTTTGACAACATCATTAACTTCATCAAGCACCATGAACCATTCCCTTCCTTCGATGCAACACAATCATAATAATCCATTACCTGATCTAATTGAGTTGACTGAAGTAGTGAATTTAATCTTCCAAGTACAAAACAAACGTATAACTAAATTTTCTGTGGATACTTGAGGGTCTCATTACTAAAATCCCCAGAAGAGCCTCAATGAAAGAGACACAAGCAGAAACAGACTCACTACTTCCTACTAAATCAGTTAAATTTTAACACCAGATTCAGAACATAGAAACAAGAACATCAGGTTAATATTTTCAAGTCTCTTGTAGGAACAAAACACACAAACAAAACGTTTCAACAAATGATGTCGAAAGGAGAGGGAGGGGAAACATATTATTGCACATAAGATTACAGCAACTATAAATAAACAGAGCAGCAGACACTTGATAAAGGCTTAATCTAACCAAATCGTAGATCAACTTTCATAGACTAAAACATAACTTGATCAAAACTAGAAACCGAAGGGCAGCGTATGAAATCACCAAAGAACAAACCCTTTTTGTTCAGTGACAGAATCTTTAGGTTCTTACTTAGAAGGTTTATGACATTTTGTTTTTACCCCATAACGTCTTTTCAACCAGGGAGGAAGTGAAGAATCTCTGCATGTCCACCATTAGAAACTGAGTGATTTATTAGCTAACAGATCCTGAAAAGGTATTATGTCTAGGTCATGCTTAATGCTTACCGTATTCCCTTCTTCTCTACGTCTGTCTCCACACTCCTCACCATCCTCAGTCTCATGAATCAAAGCATTAACCACATTGTCTTCATCGTCTTCACAAATTTGTGGAATGGTAGTTGTACTACCAACTCGGTTTTCCACAGCGAACAGTCGTCCCAGAGTCGTATACCCCATTCTTTTAATTTGAACTTACTACTACTCATATGAAACTGTATAATTCACGTAATCGTAGTCCACTTCAGCTGGAGTTGCATTGTCTTTCCTCAGAGGGACAACACAGTCTAGTAAAAGAAGATAACTCCCGTTCTGATATACCGAGAAGTAGTCGTGTTGATAGGGGAATCATAGTACCTTCCGAGTCTGCTTTTGAATTGACACTTTACCTTTGTAAACACTCCAATGGTACCAGAGGTGGGATTAGAGTTGAAAACAGCCACAGCGCAAACCCTAAACCTGAAGAATGGTGGAGAGTGAGGGGTCTGAACAAGAGGGAAGGCCATAGAGGTTCCTGTAGTTCGGTGAGTGAAGTATAACGGTATTTCTTCCCCGGACAAGATGAGTTTCTCGTAAGAGAGTTGTTGAAGAACAGCTTCTTCATCCAACTTGAAGCAGTTGATGAAACTGAACTCTACTTTTGGGACAATGTTGTCTGGACCAGAAGAGGAGGCTTGTAACTCCGGGTCAAGAATCTCTCCTTCCAATGCAATGCCACTTGGATAACCGTTCAAATCAGCACCAGTCAGTGCCCCACAGAGCGAAAAGTTGACCAACTCGAGATGTTTCAGTTTAGAAACGTTTAGGTAAACGTACTCTAACTTACTGCATCCTTGCATGAGAAGATATTTGAGCTTAGAGAAGTTCTCAGTCCACGGAGGGACCTCTTCTATTGCTGTTTCTTCTAGATAAAGGGATGAGATGTTTCTTGACATATCAGGAAAGGTCTTCAAGCGTGAGCATCCATTGAGATTGAGACGTTCCAGAAATACAAGGTTAATTCCAGTTGGAAGAATCTCCAGATCTATGCATCTTATAATCTTCATGTCCGTTAGGTTACTGAGGTTCTAAATAGAGAAAGGAAGCTCCACCATATTTGGAATATCTGAGAGAAACAACACCTTCAAAGACGCAGGCAGCATCGTTCCCATGCACATAAGCGGCTAAACAAAAACGATGTTAAAAGAAATCACATCAGATAAATCACATCAGTCTTCTTAAAGATCTTCCCAAAGTCTCCGTTCTGTTTCCTCACCTGGGAAGGATCCAAACCGTGGAAGACGGGAATCACGATTTGGCCCCACTCTTCCTTGCACCTCATGATCTCCAACAACTCATTCAGACACCAGCTTGAAGATGCGTAGTTTTTAGAGAGAAAAACCACGGCGATCCTCGATTCTCTAATGGCCTCTACAAGCTCAGGCCAGATGGACTGGCTTCTCTCCATCTCGTTGTCTTTAAAAGCTACGATCAACTTCCGGTCAAGCTCCTTGAGAAAGTGGCTGAGGAAGTTTTTACGGATATCTTCTCCGCTGAAGCTCGGACAGACAGAGAGAGTAGGAAACTCAGAGGCAACTTAGTGATTTTATATACCTGAATAGAAAGATTAGACAAAAAAAGTCAAAAGGAGAAATTATAGACATAACGCCACAGGCACTTTCTTCCCTTTCCTTGCATTACTTTACTGATTTACAGTTTTATATAATGAGGTTTAAAAAATATTTCGTTTGTAGATATATATAATATGTGCTATAAGAAAATGTTCAGTTTAGATAATCACATTTGTAGAAATACCAATAATAAAAAAGTTTAATACGAGCAGTAATATTTATACCCTCAACATTTAAAATAATTTTAAAATAAGTTACATGAGTTTTCTTTCAGTTTGAAATAAACAGTTGAAACCATTGCTTTGGTCGTTTCCTAATTAGTATGTACGTTCTGTTTTTCAGCTGATGGAGTTACCTGAGAATGTATGTCCAGGCTCCAGCTGGGGAAACTGAAAAATCTCTGTCTATCATCCTAGTATCTTGTTGTTGCGTTAGAATCAGCATTCCGATTTCATACCCATCTTTTCCAAATTTTCACATAATCTGCAGAAAAAGATGTTCAGTAATCCAAATTATGAAAGATCCTAAACAGAAAAAGAATTGTGAGACAGAAAGGAGTATCCTGTTCACTTTATGCTTAATTCTTACCCGCATTGGCTTGCTGTTTCTGAATATCTCTACATGGGTGCCTAAATATTTGTAACTTTGCTCAGTCTCATGGCATCCATCATTTACAGCATTTCTTCATCAGCTTCACAAACATCTAAAGGAGTATCTGGATTTCTCTCTACACCGCTATCTTCACACTCTTGGTTGTGTTCGGTCTCATGGCCTCTCAAAGTCTCAAGTAAACATTGTTGCTTGTGTTGCCTCCCCTGAAGATTTGACATCATAACTATATTTTAGTAAGATCTAAAGTTTCTCACATCAGAGAATCAAAGTTTGTAACCTTCTCTGGTCGTTTGTCTACCAATAATCCTCACAAGAACATATCCCATCCTTAAAATGATGAAACCGAGTTGGATCCCTTAAAACAATTTCACGTCCCACAACTCTTGAAATCAGCTTTATCACTGCGTGACAATCTTCACAAACTCGTAGATTCTTCATCACTGTGACTGTACTTCCTTCAACTGTATTAACCAACGCAAAGGCAATAGCAAGCCTCTCACTGTGATACCACAACATCTCATCCTTCTGTTCGTCTTCAACATCATGTAAGGCAGATCTATAATCAGGTATATAGCCAAGTTCCTTCAACTTTTCTCTCAGGAACTCCAACTTCTCATATATTCTCAAACTATCTGGTTGATCACCTGAGAAAAACTCATGCCTTTTCCCTTTAAACACAACCCAGCTGCTCCCAGGTTTCTTCATTATCCCTTTCTGCTTCATCTTAATCCTCAATTTCGATACATTCGACCATCTACCAGCAGAAGCATACACATTCGACAACAAAACATAGGCCGCACTTGATTCGGAGTCCAGCTTGAAAATGGCAGCAGCAGCTTTCTCGGCTCTGTCTACATCAGAATGCATCCTACAAGCACTGAGTAAAGACAACCAAACCATTTCATTAGGTTTCACAAGCATGCTCTCGACAAGCTCCTCTGCTTCTTTCAATTCCCCGCTTCTTCCCAAGATATCTACCATACAGGTGTAGTGCTGAATCTTTCTATCGATATGGTTTGGTCCTCTTGACATGTAATCGAAAAGCTTTCTTCCTTTTTGTAGAAACCCGCAGTGACTACAAGCAGAGAGCAAGCCAGTAAAAGTGATTTCATCAGGCTCTTTGTTGAAGCGAATCATTTGACCGAATATGATAAAAGCCCATTTACCACGTCCATGCTGCGCGCAGCCAACAATAATTGAATTCCAAGAGACAATGCTCTTCTTTAAGATGTCAGTAAACACCATAACGGCATCGTTTGCATTTCCACAGTCACTGTACATGACAATGAGAGAGTTACCAACAAAGGCATCAGTTACTAAACCAAGTTTCACTGCAACGCCATGCATCTCCTTGCCCCAATCCAACGTTCCCAAAGCAGAACAAGAGTTTAATCCGCTGGCAAATGTTGATTGATTCGGCAATATATTGTTTCTCAACATCTCTGAGAAAACACTTAAGGCATCTTCATGCTTTTTGTTCAGACTATACCCTGACAATAAAGCAGTCCACACAGCAACTTGTTCATGAACCTTCTCGTCAAAAACTCTCCTTGAATCCTCTGTTCTTTTGCAGTTTGCATAAAACGTTATAAGCGAAGCAGATACATATTCCTCATACAAAAACCCCAACTTGATAACAAACCCATGAACTTGTGTACCCATATGAAACGCTGGACCATTTGCACAAGCAGTGATAACACAAGTAAATGTTCTGGAACTCGCTTTAACACAACAACTCAACATGTTCATAAACAAAACAAAAGCTTCTCCACTCCTCTCATTCTGATCTAACCCAAAGATCATCGTCGTCCAAGAAATCACATTCTTCCGAGGCATTTTCTCAAACAACTCCAAAGCATCGTCTACTCTACCAAACTGTAAATACCCATGAACCATCGCGTTCCACGCTGCAGTATCTTTCACAGGCATCTGATAAAACAACCCCTCCGCTTTCTCAACCTTACCAGACCTAAGAAACCCATTTAAAATAGCTGTCCATGAAACCACACTCCTCTCAGGCATTTCATCGAACAGTTTCACTGCAGTCTCCATATCACCACACTCCACGCAGCCACTGATCATCGAATTCCATGAGATAACATCTCTCACAGGCATTTCGTCGAACAGTTTCAACGCATCAACCAATCTGTTGTTCCTCGTGTATCCAGAGATCATCTTAGTGTAGAGACTCACATGAGGAGAGGGAACCTGTTTGAAAACTTCTCGAGCCTCATCGAGTCTTCGGTTAAGCAAGTGATTACAAATTAAAACTTCGCGGTGTCGGAGCTCTGTGGCAATTGAGAAGCTTCTGTTGCAACTTCCATGAACAACGTAAGAATCAACGCAGGGGAAGGAGAATGTTCGAAATCTAAATCTTTGAAAAATGGGGCCTCTCATCACTTCTGTAAGCATCTTGGCGAATAACAGCATATATATTAGAGTCCGGTTTACTAACGATTCAACCAATCGACATGGTTCAAGATCCGGTTCAACTAACTGATTTTTTCTTAAATTCTTATATAGCTAAAATTAATAAATTAAAATTATATAATAATTTGTAAATTTGTTCAGAAATAACAAATAATAAAACAGACAAATACTTGCAAAAATACCATTTTTTGCAAGCATTTGAAAATACAATAATCCAAGTACAAGTCCAAAATTTCATTTTCAAGCCAAGTAAACCAAAAATGCCAACAAAGGTTTCTAATACTATATTTACAAGTAAACTTCAACTATGGTTTGAAAGTTATCATATACATAGAGCCAACAAAGGTTTACAATTTCGTGATGTATATACTTTCGCTGAAAATCTGAAATTGTATCAAATGTCAGAAAAGATTCTAAACTGATAATCATTAATACCATAAACCACTAAAAACATTGAGTCACTCTTCAATACGCAAAAACGGTAACAATAAACAGGGAAATTGTCAATAACAGATAAGAGAAACTGAATAGAATGTCTTCTAAGGTTTTGATTACTCGTCTTCCTGGCTACGCAACCTAGCAAGTCTGTTGGTAACGACAATGTCAAGCTGAGAAGCTCTCTCCACAATCGCTTTCCTCTTCTTTGTTGATACGTTATGAGCTATCTCTGCACAGTAAGTCCTGCCCAGACAAAAGTCAAAACATTACCATGAGAATGTAGCTTTAACAGTAATAATATATCAGAGATAGTTATTCCAAAGGTTAGAGAAAAGAGGAGTATATATATACCTGTTGTGCATCATGAGTAACTCAAGATCAGCAGAGTTGTGAACAACGAACTTCTTGAATCCGTTAGGGAGATAGTGACGGGTCTTCTTGTCAGTTCCGTAACCAACATTGGGCATCAAGGTGACACCTTTGAACTTTCTCCTCACTCGTGAATCAATACCCTTGGGCCTCCTCCAGCTTTCCTGAGGACAGTAAGTAACAAACCAAACCATGTCAGATACACAAGGATCAATAAAATAAGAAGAAGCAAGCAGTTTGTTTGAGAATCTGAAATGTAAACAGGGTTAAAGTAACAGTAAGCTTATGGAACTAAAGCAAACTGTGTCGCAAGACCTGTAAGAGATTTACTTTATGCCCTAGAAAAAACGAAGTGACCAGAAACAATAGTTTAATTCTAGCCACCAGATACCTAAGGGCATTATACATATGCAAATGAAGACTGAAACTATAAAAAAAAAAGTCGAATCGTTTCAGCAGCATTATTATATAATTCAAGATATAATTCAAGAAAATTAACAAGCTACATTTTATTAAAGAATCATTATTAATGCATCAGAAAACTCGTCTACATGTCAAAAACATCATAATGAACCAATCAAACCAAGATCAATAGTCTATCAAACACAAAACTGATTACTATTGGGTTATTTCTAAGTATCTAAACTAACGAACAAGCAAGTTGGTACCTTGACGGTGATTCTGCGATCACTCTGGGGTCTGATGAATTTGGCAGACCTCTTCTTCACCACCTTCTTCGTTAGCAACGGGACCGCCATTTTCTGCTCCTTGCGTTAGAGATCTCCAAGGCGTCGTCTCTCTTCACGGAGGAAAAAAAAACATTTATAGGCGAGCCCTAGGGTTTTTGCTTAACACATGGATGGGGCTTAGGCCCACGTTAAGGCCCATTTTAAACTGCATGAAAATATTGAAAATGTGAATGAAATTTAAATTAAAAGAAAAGACACAAATTAATAGATATGGTTTTACAATTAGTTTTTAGAACCATTTCTAAATGACATGTGTCAATTTGTGATAGATAGTATTTAAAAAAAAAAAAAAAAATGGACACAAAAAATGGTAAATTTTTAGAACTTTTAATTGGTTTATTATTGGAGAGGTTAAAACTAAACAAGTATCTAAAATATTTAATTTACTTATTTTCATTCAAAAAATTGATCTAGAACTCTAATGAAAGATATATTGCTGGAAATGGTCTTTCTCAGCCTAAAATTCATAGACTGTCTTCTCTCTTTTTATTAAACTAAAAATGTCTAAACTAGTAATTAATTTAATGGAGGTATCATAAGGGTAGGCTCAAATTGTTATCTTTTTCAGCGTATTTCATATTCGATTAGTTTTGTACAAGTAATAGAATTTTGGATCTGTATTTGGTTTGTTAAAAATAGTGTATAAGCAAATTATTTGCTAAAAATAATGTATTTGCAATACTTGTCACTTGTTAAGCACTTGTAAGATATTTCAGTGATGCTTTATCTTTAACATTAATTTTAATATTGTAATAATTATTTTGGATCATAATTCCAAGAATCAAAGAAACTGTCTATAATATTAGTCATCAAAACCATAAATTAAATATAAGATAAACGTACTTATGATATTATCGGTAGATATTCTTAATATCAATTGTTAATATCTATTCATTAATTAAATTTTCTAAATATCATGATAGACTAAACTAATGATTTATTTTAAAATAATGGAGAAGATAACAGCTAAACGAAATCACTTATAGTATAGATTTAATACTTGGTAGTTGTCATGTTTTTACTAGTAGTTATATCAGATTATTCCATTAGGATTGCTAAAGACAAAATATTCGATTTTATGAACTAACCAAATAACCAGAATAGAGCCGAAACAAGAATGTGTTTCCATTCCTAATCTGATTGTTGTTGCCAGTTTCTACTTCTTTTCATTTAAGAGCTTAGTTTGCAAACCATCTTACTTTAATTTGATAAAAGAAAACAGTTAATTCACTTTGGCGTGAACCCTTTCAAATAATATATATTTAGAGTTTATGTTCTTCCCTCCTTTATTACGGGATTTGAGATTTTCACTGCTCAGATGACTAGAAATATTGTCGAATCCCTAGAAAGGTGATGTATTTATTAGTGTTAAGTTACTTATTAGTCTTGAAGATACACTACTTAATATAGAAACTCTGTTTGGTTTTGAGTTTATTGTACTATGTTTTTACATTGCTCTCTGTTCTCACACTTCCTGAGGGAACAAATAGTATTTTGGGAATGTAATGTCTAAACTTTATGCATCTTGTTTAAAAATCAGGCTTGTTTTGTCTTTATCATATACATGTTCTAAACTGTGATGCTCATCAAACAGACCTTAGCTGGTGATGAACACTCACTCAAGACTCCGTAAATATCAGAACGAAACTCAAACGAATTCGGTTCTGTTGGTACAGACTCGATCCACTCTTTCTCAACCATCTGAACATGTGGGTTCATCTTCATCACCGCTTGAAACTCAATTTTTCCTTTCAATCTCTTGAGAAACTTCAACGTCAATACCATTTCCGAGTTCTTGACTTCAGATTCTTCGGTCACCTGAATCCCAATCTCCCCTCCTTTTGTGCTCACGAATCCAACTAGCATCGGGTTGATGTAATGTTGTGATCTTGTTTCAATGCTGTGTACCTATTAAAGATGCCAAATCTGAAGGTGAGGAACAAAATTTTCTGGATATGAGTTGGATTAATAATCCGATAATACCTGAAGATAATCGATTCCTAGGCTGGAGAGAGAGTCTGTGATCCCATGTGAAACAAGGACGCTCAAGACTCCTCCAGAGCCAACAGGGGACTTGAGTATCTCCCATGGAGATTTCATCAAAATCTTGTGCTTTTTCGGTTCCTCTGATGAGCTACAAACTACGGGAAGTGTTTCTTCTTTCAGAAACCATACCTAGATATAAGTAAGAACATGAGTTTTTGTTAGCATAGAATCTGATAAGTGAAATGCAAAACTATCTTTGGAGGGGATAAAAAAGCCTTTTCACCTTTTCTGATTCAAATCCAAAATAATCATTTTCCTGAAAAAGGTTCCGCACATCTTCAATGGCATGTTCAGGGGAAACAATAATGAGTGGCACACAACCACGTTCTTCTTCCTGCATTTAACCCCATGAGTTATCTAGTATAAGCATAACTAAATGACAAGACAAAAAAAAATCATGATTTTGTATTATCAGCTAACCTTTAGGAACCTCTGCTCATCATCAAGTAGCGCTTGGAGATACGAGACTGCACCATTTTCACCTTCCAGTTGTTCAGTCTCATGATCACTGAGAACCAAACAGATAGAAACTTTTCCCTCAGAGTATAGACTTTTCCCTTGCTGAAAGAAACTGAAATTATCACCAACTTTCTCTTTACTAGCATCAAAAGTAAGACATTCCCGTGATACATTTAGAGTACAGTCCGATTCTCTAGCTCTCAGCGCATTGATTTCCTCAGTTACGTTCCATCTAGTTTCATCAAGAATCCAAAATGAGAAAACAAACTTATTGCAACGGTTGTGAAGCTTCTTAAAGAGTGTTATTTACCTCTTCTTGGATGAATCATCAATACTTTGCAAAGCTTTCTGAAGCAGAGTGGAGTTAACATCAAGGATATGATCAGCAAGCAAACTCCTCTGAGACTTTTCTCCAAACCTTAATCCATCAAACACATGCTTCTGCTCCAACTCACATAACTTCTTTTTAGCAGCAATAAGCCGCTTCTGCTGCTTTTTTCTTTCTTTCCACTCCTGAAATCACCAGATACGTAAAAGTTTAAGAAACAACAGAAAGATGTTAACTAAAGGTTCAATATGGAAGAGCGCAAGAAGAATATGCCTCACAAGCTGACGTCTTTCTTTCTTGGTTCGTTCATCTGCTCGCATGTTCACTTCGAGAAGTCCCTTGGGAGGAGTTATATACATCTCCCTTCTCTCTAAATCAACATCTGGAACAATTGCATCTACGAAAGGTATCCACACAAGCTGGTTCGTCTTTGCACTCCCGTTGCAGACTTCCATGGATGAATCGAGCAAGACATGTAGAAGATCGTTTCCTCCATTGTCGAAAACATTAGCAACAGTTCCAACAAGTTGACCTGTCTCCTGTATTAATGCATGACTGATTTAGACTAAAGCATTATCACATTTTACTATATAACATGCAAATCCAAATACTATACCTTGAGAAGAACTTTCATGCCTAGAAGATCACGACTGTAAAACTCTCCATCATCAAGCTCAGGACGATCATCTTCCTCAGCAAGAAGAGTTGCGCCAACGAGTTGTCTCACCTAAAGCAAACCCACTAAACTTTAAATAAAAACTAATCATTATGAAGCTCTCATATGGTATTGATACTGACCTGATCAACATCATCCAACCCTCGAAACTTGAGAATCCAACTCTTCTGAGCGGGATGAGGTCTGCCTTCAACTAACTCAACCTCATCAATCTTATCTTGTCCCATCAATTGTTGTTTTAGCCATCTTCTACCAGGCTTATGAAGTCAAAGGAAAGGTCATGTGATGATGATAAACAAAAACACAAACTTCCCACATGTTTTCTCTTCTGTTTTAAACAGTGTTACCTTAGAGAAACGTAAATCAGGAAAATCGGTGTTTGGTTTGATGCAAATCTCTCCTTGTAGGCCATGAACACCAGACAAGAACCCAACTTCAACTAAGTCCAGCTTACTGTCACTACTGGTTTCCACTGCTTCCTCGGTAGCTGAAAGAGCACAGAGAACCAATCAAATCAAGACAACAATCCATGTACTAATTCAGTTGTCAAGAAGTTTTTTCAAAATATTGCTTAGTTTCCACAGCTTAGAAGAGATAAGTATATAAAAAAAAAAACTGAAAAATGGAATCAAGCAAACAAATTTCAAACAAAAATCAGAATTATTGGATAATCCAGTTGCTAAAGACTTCACTTTTACACCAAATTACTATGAAATAAACCCAAAAAGAAAAAAAGAAACTCAATTACCGGTGCTACGGACGGTGAAGCTACATCTTCTACGAGCCCCCACGAGGCTGAAGTGACAAGGAGCACGAGACAAAGCCGAGACGGAAGGAGATAGTTCCAAGGTCGTGAAATGAAGGGAAGTATTGGGATGGAATAGTTGAACCGGTGTGAAAGTGATTGGTGTCGACGAGGAACAGAGAAGCGCACAAGTTCTCAGCATCTTCTCTTCTTCCTATGACTTCAGTTGCAATGGCAATGGTGTCTGGATGGATAGACCAAGTTTATCTTTGGTGAAAGACTCTGAACGATTCCGAATGTTTCAGTTGTCGTCTCATGTATTTTTCTTTCTTTTGAAACACTTTGTCGTCTCATGTATAAACCACCACTGTTTTTTCTTGTTTAGACAGAACCGGCGGTCCGAGTGAGAATCACTCCTCTTGTGAATGTCCAATATTGCAAACCCGAGTTATAATTTTAACAGTTAAAGTCGAACCAAGACCGTATAAGAACCGGTTCGCATCAAACCACGTGATTATATATATATATGTCTTTAGACTTGGAACTTGGAAGAGTGTGTAGTTGGACCCTAGATTATAACTGTACAATAGTTTTCATATAATGTGGACTATATAGTGATTGACAAAAAGTTTTTGTGCGAAGTTGTGAATTGTTTACTATACGTCTCGACAAACAAAATGTCACTAAAGACTGATGAAACCTCTTGTCAAAAATTATACAATTGCAACTGTTGAAAAGATAAGTTTCATGGGGAAAACAGAGAGGCTGAGTGGTTTTTACAGAGCTCTGCTTTCTGGAATATTTACTACTCTGCACAACATCAAAGATTAACCCACACTAATGAACTTAAAACCAATCACAGCACACTGATGTTCAAAAAGCCTAGGAGAACAAAACAAGAAACCCTCACCGATTAACAACATTACTGGAACTGAGATATACATATATGTATTATTAATCATCTGTGACAGTGAGTGTAATGATATAAGTCTATTATCTACATGAAACAATGGCCAGAAACAGAAGAGAGAGGAATACGTTTGGATTGGGTTTAAGTAGTATACTAGGAAACAGCTTTTAGTATAAAGATTACATGGCTTCAGTTTAGGCAAACCAAATAGTTAGATATGAATGACATAAAAAGCCAGAAGCAAAGGAAGCTTGTTAGAGCAAAAAAAACAATTGACAAGTAAAAACGGATGTAACATACTTACTCAGTCATTTCCTTAAAGCGTATAATATAGTTAAGAGTTCGTTACTTCGTTCGATGATATCTGCACATAAGGCATGCAAAATTATGAAAACCTTTACGAATATTATAGACTATATATATACCATGGATTTGAACCGATCATCGCATTTTAGTAGCCCTGCCACCTCGAAGTACGATTTCTTATCTGAATGTTGCATAGCCAAGAGGCGAAAAGTGTAATAACTTTGCTCAAAACCTTAAAAATAAACCATATAAGCTGGATGAAGATTCAACACTTAAGATTCAAGCTCAACATCTGCACTATATGCAGAGCATGCTGTGTGTGTGTTTATGACTGCAAAGCAGCAAAAGACAAAAACGGTTTAACTAATAGTATAAGAGAAGTTCAAAAAGAAAGACATGAACGCAACTGGTGTCAACTTCCAAAATGATTTCACTCAATAAGAACTCATTTATACACATCCATTATCTCAGCTTAACCAACTGTACATTTGTAACAAACTGCAAGATTTACCATCTATCTTGACAGAGAAGAACCAGTAATAGAATAGGAGTTAAGCCCACAACTAGTTCTTCTATTCAGAAAGTTCTAAAAGAGCGAGCAAGCAAGAAACTTACTCTCACTAGACTCAGACGAGCTTATTCTTTGGTTACCTAACTTAACGACCTAAAAAGAGATATGAAGAACTATAATTAAGGGCCACTAAAATTCCAAAGGAAAGAAATCAGAATCTGCACTCGATGTATATAGACAAAAAGAAAAGAAGGAAGCTCTTATTCCTTGTTACCAAATCTCCTGCCAATGATAGGCCGAACATCATCAGCAACAGCCAAAGTCTCCAAGAAGGGAAGTATAGTGATCAAACCATCATCAGTTGGATCATCATACCAACTTTTGATAGGGATCCCGTTATTTATTTGCAACCTGTACACCTGAAACACATGAAAAGACAAGAGTTAGGTGATCAAACAGGAAAACTTTGGGTGTCTATAACGCTTTAGATTTGTGATGTCATAGATAGTCTTCAAACTGAAGTTAATGAATGTGCCTTTTCATAAACAGAACAGTATTCTTAGTAAGAGTGTATAACAAGCATAAAGAAACACCATACATTAATGAAAAATGTCAAGATCCATGGCAGATCTTACCTGCGGACAGTTGTCAATTATAGCCACTTTGGCCAAATCAAGACCCAGAACAGTTAAATCCTTGGTGTAAATTCCTTCCGAAAGAATGCATGAGTCTCGATAAAAACGCTGCGATATGAACTTTCCATCTGGGTCCAATATATCTAGAAGTTGTGAAGCGTAGATACTGTGGCTAGCCGTGAAGATCACGACATGGAACAGTTCGACCACCCTCTCCAGGAACTTGTACAGGTGTGGCCTCTGCTTCACATAGACCGTGTTCTCTTGCATGTTGAAAAAGACTCTAAATGAAAAATCTGCACCACTGCACGATTCCAGAGTCGAATGGACCAAAGTTTCTGCATTTTAGAGAGAAATATATTTAGTAAGTTGAGAGTAGCAAATCCACCTATAGTGCAAAGAGCAACAGAAAAATTCAACACTACAAAAGTCAATATAAGGCTGCAGTATATTTCTTCCTCAATAGACAAAATTGTAAAGGGTGATCCCAAGTTTAGAACTGAAGTATACAACCAATCAAAACGAAGAAATCAGTCAAACCACATTCACTTTCCAAACATAACTTTATATACGACATAAAGTTCAAGGAACAGCTGTTATAACGAATGGGCTCATTATAAGGACTAAGATGAAAGGACAAGTCAAACTCAATCACAATTAAATAAGAGGACATACCATCCAAATCAAGGACAAGGGTCACATCCTTCTTTCTTAAGGTATCTCTAGGCCAATAGTTCGATACAACATCTGATAGTTCCGGCTGATTCTTTATAAAAAGCTGAGGGTCGAAATCTTCAGCTTGTTCAGATTCAGCGAGATCCTCGGGTTGCATGTTATGTGATCGCGTCCTGTTAAATGCCAGAAATAAGTCATGGCTATCGAGATTAATTCTGTTGTCAGCATCTGACTTGAGATCATCCGTGTTGGCTGCTCCATCTTCCAAGTACGGTAGTAACATGTACTGCTCTGGGAATATGAAATGAGGCAAGGGGCTTATCTCGGTGAAAGCATCATTGTTTCCACTCCCATCAAACGGCAAGCTCGTAATGAGAAGGTCGGAAATAAAGAAATCAGAAACGTTGCACGTTTGGTTGTCAAAGCAAATCTTGTTGGTGCTCTCGTCGCCTCCCCACCTGGGAATTTCCCAGTGCACAGAGTTTCCTGCCGTAAAGACTGAGGATACAAAGTTAGTATGATTCTTGTATTAAAGACTTATATCGAAACTGTAACAGAAATACATACCTCGATCAATTCCATCCAGTTCATCATTCAGAACAGGTGAAAATATTGTATCCGAGTTTGCTATATAGTTGCAAGCCATCTCCTGCACAAGAATAACAAAATGTTACTCATCAAGCATGTGTGAAAAAAAGAATAAATGAAAGGCAGCTACATATATCAAACAATACCATTTTTGCGACAGATTCAGAAGCATCATTGGAAGATGCAAAGGCCTGAGACTGAGAAGTGTCTTCAACAAGCATTTCAGCGGGCTCGTTGGTTTCAACATCCCGTGCAAAAGCATCCGAATCTGAAAAAACTGACATTCATCAGAGAGAGAAAAGAACAAAAAAATCACCAAAAAAAAAAAGAGAGACAACTGAAGATAGTTTAGATGATCTAATAAGTCAACAATTTGGACATAATAATTCAACAAGAAAAGAAAAACTTTTACCAAGTTGCTGTTTGGGATCGTGTTGGCAAGTAAGAGTAGCTGTTGTTGTTATGCTTTCCAAGTGGCCTGAGATTTTGGAGAGAGAGGATGAATTTCTAATAGTTGGTTTAGGTTTCTTAGAGACACCAAGATGCTTGCTTGTTTTGCTCTTCATGTCTATATATGGCATTGGCTCTGTATCTCGAATTACAGCGACCTCGGGTTGAGCACGTTTAGGGGCAAGAAGGCCTTACTGAAAGGATGGAGCCAACAACATATGCTGCAAAAAAAAAAAAACAGAGACCATTTGAATAATCAAAACGGAATCTAGACAAAACCGAGAAGACAAAAAAAAAAAACAAAAGTCAACCTATCAGAAACAGCAAACCCAGGTTCTTAGACAGAAAAACCCTAATTAAGGGTCACAAATAGGTCTATTTTCCTAAATCAATCGAGACTTAAAGCTAATAAATCAGAGAAACAAAAATAAAACTTGACAAGGTTCGCTAAAGCTACAATTCCAACTCTAAACTCGAATCAAGTGATCGTACGCTAAACTCGAACTGCGAATATAACAAAAAGTTTACCAAGAAAAAATAAATTATTTCGGCAGAATTAAAATTTCAAACTATAGCTTACCATAGACAAGCTAATCGAAACAGAAAAAAAACTCAAGTGAAAAATTAACAAATTAAAAAAACTCTTTCTCCAACACAATTAAGGAATAATCTTCCAGAAAACCGGGGTGAAAATGGCGGATTTGTCTTAAAAAAAAAGAACCAACAATTCACGTCGGGAATAAGCAAAACAACCACAGAACATCGAAAGTCAAACAACACAGAAAAACAAAAACAAAAAAAAAATGTTAAGCTGAAGAAAATCAAACGAAAACTACAGAGGAAGGAAGCGATCGAAATTTGGAGAAAGACGAAGACCGACCTCTGAGAGAGAGAAACAGAAGAGAGAGAGAGCTTTCTGTTCTTCTTCTGGTTTTATATTTTTAATTGATATGTGGTCTCTTTCTCTACTACTTGAGGAGGGGTCTCTCTCTCTCTGGGTTTCTTTCTCTCACATAACTTCCACGAACGGTCAATACTGACTTATGACGGCTCCTATTGGATCCAATCGACGGCTCCGAATTGTTCCTTTGGTGGGCGCTTCTACTCCAATACGAAGCTAACACGTGTGTTGTGTAACCAGCTGTACGATTCACACACGTTATTTGACGGGTGTCCAAGCCCTCCAACTTTTTTAAAAACTTTCGATTTAAGATTCTTCCTTCCTCTAGACTTTAAAATTTACGGAAATGTACTTTAAAAAAATTTAAATTAAAAAGTATACTTTAATTCACAAACACAATTGAGCAGAAACTATTAGACTTTCATGAAACTTATATGGAAGTGATGGAAGTGTCAGAAGAGTGTTCTACTTCATGTCTTCCTCCAGATTCTCCACTCTACAAGAATATCATTTATCATTTTAGTAAAAGATGTTTTAATATGATAACAACAGATGCAAAGTTCGAAGCCAACCTTTTGAATATCACTTTCCTTTGTGGAGACTTGTGGCACGGAGGGTGGTATCTGTTCAACAACTTTTGCTTCTTCTTGCAACTGTTGTTGCTGAAGATAGAGATGATACTGTTCCTGTTGTTGTTGTTGTTGCCATTGTTGCTGCTGTTGAAACCACTCTTGTTGTTGTTGTTGCTGGAACTGAATCTGCTGCTGGTTTTGTGGTTCTTGGCTATGCTGTTGTGTGTTGAGTTGTTCCACCTGTTGAGATTGTGGGTGCTGAGTTCCAGCTTGGGTTTGATAGAGAATATTCGGATCTAGTTGCGGGTGAGGATTCTGATTTGGTTGTGGTTGTTCAGGCAGAAGCTGTTGCTGTTGTTGTTGGTAGTAGTAATTGTAACAGTAATACTGTTGCCACATCTGGTTATATGCTTCGTTGCTCTGCATCTGACCTTCTAATTGGTCGTTACTTTGCACTGGATGCTGAGAATAAGCAAATGATGTTTGAACCTGAGCTGCGGAGCCTTGATATTGACTCTGCGGAATCTGTGAGAATGAGCTTTGCACTGCTGCTGGATTGACAGAAGAGGCTACAATCATGTGCTGTCCAGGAATCTGGGCCTGAGGATAAGCATTAGATGGTTGAACCATGGGGTATGCAGAGTACTGACACTGGTTTTGCAGACTCTGTGAGACTACGTGATTGTCTCTAGGAGCAACATCCATCTGCTGGCTAAAACCCCCACGACCAGTTGTGACTGGAGAATATGACATCTGTTGAGGTCTCTCCTGTGAGCGAGGTTTGGGATCTCTATGACTCTGGTTAAAATCTCTTCTCTGGTACCTACTTCGACTAGCTTGCCTGTGAAACTCTTGGTTTTGGTAACTTTGGGGACTCCGAAAGCCACTAGGTTGGATCTCTATAGCATCAGATTTCACAGCATCTACTGAACTGGACGAGAAGTGAGCTTGTTTGGCGACAAAAGCATGTTTTGGCGTGTCCTGGATTGGTAGGCTTGCTTCACGAGAGCGTTCACCACCTTCATCCGACTTTAATCCCATAGACAGATCACTCTGTGACTCACAGAGATTCTCACTCTCTGCAACAGTTTTGCTTCCTTCAGCTTGAAGTCCTGAAGCCAGAGACTCCCCATTAGTCTCGGTGTTTATATAGTCAGACCGAGCACCATCTTTAGATGGAGAACCATCAGAGTTCAGAGGTAACTCTTTCTTTTCTTCCAGTGGCGAAACAACTGTACCGACAATGCCTTTGTTTGCTAATAGGTCATGATTCAAGCACTCACGAGTCTTTTCTCTTCGTTGAATCAATTCTCGGAGTGAATTCCCTGAAGGACGGGACTCATGCGACTTGGCTTTAGTAGAATGTGGGAATAATTTTATGTGTCGACCCAAAGCCTTCCTCACATCATGTATGGTTCCACAGAGGTCAATAAACTGCTCAAAACACAGAGCAATTACTAAGTATCAAACACATTCAATCCAATAAAAAAAACAGAAAAGGCCACAAGAAAGAAATGCCATCGAGATTGTCCCATCCGTAGAAGAAACCTTACCTCCATGTATAAATTTGATATGTTCTCCTTGTCCTCTGCGCTCAAGCCACCAGAGGAATCAGCCTGGTGAGATATTTCTTTATCTATGATAGGATCTAATAGATCCACTTGTCGAGATCCTCCATGCATCATCATGAGTCTTATAAGCTCCTGTTAGCGCAAAACATTAACAGGGATTGAATCTTTCAAAAGTTAATAGATGCTAGGGAGAAGACTTATCATTCCAAATGGATTAAACCTTTAGTCATTAACACACGGTACACACCTCAAGAAGTAATTTGCAGTGAGGAACTTTCTCATTGCCTTCTATCAGAATCTGAGCTGCCTCATCAGAACTGTTTGATATCTAAGAATAAAGTAAGCCGTCAGATTAAGAAAACTTTCAAAAACATGCAACGCATTGAAGGTAAGGTAGTGACCAAAACAGTCCCCAGAACTCTATAGTATGACATTTTTAATGACAGATGATTGAAGCTACAAGAGATTCATGGGGTCAAAACATTACTTACCATGTACTTGAGACGAGAAAATTGAACATACAACAGTGCAGTAGTTTCTATGTTCTCTTTTCCAGTGAGTGTTTTCTTCAGAGCCTCTCTGTATGTAGTATAAGCCGCTTCCGAATTACCCTACATGGATCACGGAATAATTAGATAATCTCTAAAACTGAGTCATCCAAACCAAATGGTACCGAGTAGTGTATTATCCATACCAGACGCTTCTCCATGTTAGCCTTCTTAGTTACATTTTCAACAAAACCAACACCAAGCTCCTCGTCACATCGAGACAGAGCAACAGAAGCGGCAGATGCATCTCCAACGTGTTCCTTGAATCGTGCATTGAATAGATGGATAGCAGATTCATTCTACAATGAACATACAAAGGCATCACGTGAATGTAAGGTCCTAGTGGTTCATCTTCCTTCTGATACACAAAAGCAATCGTAATCTCATATACCTTGACAAAAGTTTGTGAAGCTCGAGCCAACGCGAAGTTAGCTAGCTCCCTGCTACCATTGCTTTCAACAAAATCCACATAGCGGAACCAGAACTCGGTGTAATTAGCGCATGGAATTAAACATCTTTCATAAAGCTTAATAGCCTACAATTTAAACATTGAAAAGTTTTAAATATAAACAAGAAAGGAGCAAAAGCCAAACAAAAGAAGAAACCAAGCCATTCACCTACCCAATCAAAGTCTCCATATGTTTCTGCAAAGCTCAGATACTTATGCCAATTGTCAAGCTGATTAGTGTCCATCGGCTTTACATGAAAATAAGGTCTGCGGATTTGCGTCTCAAAGCAACTTATTTTTTCCTCCAATTGCTGTGAATCTTGATAGAACTGTTCCCCAATAGACAAATATGCATGCAGAGCTTTTGCCACAGCTAAGCTTGAGGAAGGACCCATCAAGTCTCTTATAACAACAGAGATCTCCTCGTCAGTGTAACGCTTAGGGATCAAATCTTCTTCCATGGGGTCTGAAGAAAGGTCTCCGTTAACATCTATTCTACATTTGATCTTCTCTTTCAAAGAAGCTGCAATCTTCCTGAAGCTGAAAAAAATACAGGGCAAGAATAAAGTTATGGAAAAACTCAGGTCACAAAAGCTCGAAGTAACAGAATATCATGACTGTCATTATAGAACAACTGTAAGAGTACATACTTCTTGTAGTAGAAATTCAACTTTTTGGATGGATATCTCAGGGTCCGGAGATATACATGCGCCAGAGAACTCCATTGCTTCTTACTCAAGAGAAACTCTATATATTTGTCCCAGAGAGTGCAGCAAGAGTAATCTTTCCCAACAAATGAAAGCCCCCTCTCAAATAATCTGCCAGAATATGTTTATGTAAAGTAATCAGTTCCACAAATAAGCCTTTGGTTCTCTCCCCAAACAAATCATAATAACAATAGATAGAGAAAATCAAACGAAACTAACATAAACAATTTTCAGCCAATGATAAGTAAGATTGTATTGGTAAGTCAAAGAAGAAACACAAAGCATACCCTAAAAATTCAGATATACCTACAAACATCATGATGATCTTGATAGGCAGCAACAGCGAAAGTGCAATAGTCCAGCCATACATCTACAGAATAAGTAGCTGCTTGTATTGCCCGTTCGAAAACTTCAACAGCATCTTCTAACGTACATAACTGTATCTTATGGTAAGCATACTTCCTCCAATAGCCATAGCACAACGGAAACTCCAACAGGAAAGCATCGTAGACTAAACACAGCTTCTCAATATCATCCTACGATAGCAAGTTCAATGCTTTTAGCTTTAGAGAAGCAAAAGGTTTCAACTTTGCCACCAAATGAGAAAAACTTACTGGGAAGGAAGTCTCTACTTCGGAGATTAACAAAGTCCAATCATCAAAATCAAGACTTTCACTTGAAAACGTTTCCTTTAGCCTATCGTTTTCAAGGAAATCTGCAAATGAAACATATTGATTCTACAGAGTAATGTTGGAATTATTCTTCAAATAAGGAGAGCTACAAACTTATGCAGAGAGAGAGAGAGGGAAAGAGAATTAGGGTTTTACCAGTAGAGCTGTTGGGTTCTGGAGGCGGAGACGTTGGTTTCATGCCGGAGACGGCGGTGCTAACCTCCGTAGCCACCACCATTAAAGGACACGACTTTAGTGTTTTGTTTCTCAGTAAAGAGATTTCAATATGACTCCAGTTATTATTAGTTAGTCCTTGATGCCAGCTATAAATTAATTTACGCCCATACTCTTTTTCTTTGCGCTGAACACACCCATATTTTTGTCGTTTCAATGTTTCATCATGAAAGTGATTATCATTACTAACAAATGGTTTCATTTTACGAGAAACTTAAATTGCAACAAATACAGTATGTTTATTTTCTTTGTGACAAGAACTTACAATTATGCCATCAGTATCTAGACGTATTTGCAAATATGTCCTTGTATTTTTAAGTATTAGATTTAAAAGTATTAAGAATTTGGTTAAATTGTTTATATGAAACTCTATGTCAAAGGATATTGTTATATACATGTTCGTTTTGTTTAGGATGTTATGGTCACTGAATTTAAGGGTGTTTAATCTAATAAAACCGAACCAATTAAAAGCGAAATGAACAGATATTAAAAAAATGGTGTAAATTTTGCAATACCAAATAAAACCGATCATACCGAATAAAATGATTAATTACAAAATATTAGTATATTTATATGCAAATTTTATAATAATATTATTAATATATACATGATTTAATTATTAATAAGGTGTTCATATTTAAAGAAAATATTTTCTTAATTTTTTATTTGTTCTAAGTTATAAAAATCTCTTTCATCAAATTAAATATAATATATTCTCTTATTAAATACTTGTGCTAAAATATAGTTATTTAATAATATTATTATATGACTTTTTTTAAATAGTAAACATACAAAGATAAGATATTCTATTTGAAAATTAGAGTAAGGAATATATATTATTTTTAGTAAATCTGATTCATAATCATATAAATTAATATTTGTTATAAAAAATAAATACAGCTATGGTTTTACTATAAAACCGAATAAACCGAAAAAATCATGAGTATATAAACCAACTCAAACCCAAGTAAATGTGATATTAATATGGTACTAAATTTTTATAAACTGAAATACCAAAAGATCAAAAAAATACACCAAACAGATATCCAAATTTAACACCCCTAATTGAATTTGACTAATCGTGATTATCTGATGTTTTGATTGTTTGTTACGTGTTTTATGATCTATTGTATTAATTATTCGAATAGTTATATATATGTTTTTATCTATCCTCCCTAGTTGCGTTGATTGTTTTATAAATGTTATAAGTCGTCGGACGTCGGCATCATCATCAGCATTAAGCTTGTGGTTGTTGTTTTTTTGGTAAGAGCAGGGATCTTTCTAGACATTGTAATTACATTTAGAGAATGGGTTTACTGAGAATCGTGTTGCTAAACTGAATAGATTTATTCAAAGCACATGTAATCAATTTCTGATTATTTGACTTGCCGCTTCTAGTGCTTCCTGGAATTATTAAGGCAAAGATGATCTTGTTAGCTAAGGTATGGTATAGAGGTCTACATATGCGGTCTGACGTGTTCTCACAATGCATGTTCGAATATATGAGTCCATGGTGTTTTAAAATTGTAAATGTTTAGCTGAGTGGGGGAAACAAATTGTTGTAGTAAGTTTGTTAAGAATGTCTTTGCACAGACAATCTTATGTGGTTTTCTGCAGACTCTTTTCTTGACAATTCCTTAGCTTTTTTAATTTTGTTAAAAAGTGGGCAACAACTGACAACATAAATAATTTTATTCATCAGGATAATTTGTCTACTGTGAACACAACAATATACAAAATCATACCACAATTACTGAATTCCAAGGCCTCTCAAGCTAATCCCTAGATTCAACATATTTTATTTTCTCCCATATAGTTAAAATGGCTTCAGTTCCACTCATTTTTACCATCTACTTCTCTGGTGGAACATAATATTTTGTTAGCTAACATTCTGAAAATGCATAGATGAATGATTTGAGAAAAGATCAGAACCTTATCTTGAAAACTATTATTGTAAGATGTTTACATAAAAGTACTTGAAACATTAAGTTGTAACAATAGATAAGAAATTATGTACGTCAAGTCTGATTCTATTTCCTAAGAATGCAAGGCAAAAATAAGAAAATATTAGAGATAAGGATATTGCTGTTTCTTGGCATGTAGCACATGTTGTCAAATTGATATGTACTTCCCCAGAAGGATTCAAGAGAAAGTTTTGAGTTTTTCACCTCTTGCTCAAGCGTGATTAGTTTAGTTCATGCGAAGGAAATACAGAATCATTGGGAACAACGTAAACACATCTCTGGATATTATTAACTACCACACATAAACTCTTAATTGTAGATCGAGGACATAATCAATTCTCTAGATTAATCTTGACGGGAAAAGAAAATGAGTTAAAAATCCAGAGAGCCTCACTTTCCAAAACAAACCGAAAAGAATATAGAAACAAAGTGATCCATCATCATTCAACTCAAATTCCGTCTGCCCTTCCTATAATTTTATGTAAGTACTTTAAGCAACATGCGTGTGCATCTATCATGCATGAAAAAAAGTTCTTGCTACAGATATCCGTCTCTCACTTCTCTCCAGGGTCTTCTTCGGTCTCCGGTGTTTCTCGTCAGCCCGTGAGAAGGCCTCCTCTTGGTTCCTAATTGTTGTTTCTGAGCTTTAACAACAGGAGGAGTGCACGAAGGTAAGTCTGGAGACACCCTCCTTCTCTGACGTGTTGAGTTGTTGTTCTCAAGCGTGGCGGTTGTTCTTGGTGCTCAGCCCCTCGGTCACTCTTTTATGGTTTTATTATGCATGTGCTCGTGGACAGAGGAGAAGAATCATCATATATTGGTTTCCATAATCGATGTAGAACACTTCAAATTTACATCTCAATAGCTCCTCGTGGTGCATTCACAATCTGAAAATAGGTATCAATCAAATGAATATTGAAGCAAAACAAAGCAGAGAAACTAAGATGGTGTACTGGAAATTACCATTCCACGGTTCCAGAAGTTGTCAAGGATAAACTGTGCAAGAACGATGTCACCCCTCTTTAGAAAACATAGATGCAAGACGGTTATGAATCAAAACTAGTTTCTGGTTAACAAAGAAGTGACCACCTCCAAGTACCTCTGTGACAGGATTAGCTTTTACTAAAGATATTTGTTTTGCTTGTCACCTTCAGTTTCTGGTTTGTAGCAGTCTCTGTACCTGTTCAAGTATATGTGCTTCAACTCCCACATTGATCCAATGGGAGTACCTGTCAAACATACTTACACAAACGTTCACGTCTCTGCCAAAAAAAAAGGCTTATTAACTCGACTATTATTAATGTATATCCAATGGAGTAAACAGAAACCAAACCATCTTTCAAGCGTTAAAGTGAGCATAACACGTTGTGCCCCTGGTATACGATCAGTGATCGTGCTCCTAATTTCTCTGAGCTCATCCAAAATATCTGTTTTTACGGGAAAAAAATCATGTTAAACTAAACATTCAGACAAAAGTCAAATATATAATCTTGCAATATTTACCTGGGAATTCTTTGCCGGTGTTGCCTAACGCAAGTATGGTTTTGTAGGATGGAAATCAGAAGAGCTCGGTTGGTATGGTTCGGGCTGTGGTTTCAATCTTCTCAAAGAAAGTCCCATCATTGAACCGTATGGAGAGAGTCGCATCAGATAACCGGTATTTTGGGTTGCTGCGCGTGACATCAAAACCGGTTAGGCTGTACAGAGAACCTTTTTTGAGGGACTGCCGGAATCTCATCTGTCGAACGGCAGCAATAGAAGCTTGCATCAGCGTCGCCTATTTGTTCATTTTAAAAAAAAAACTTCAGTCAATTTTTCTAAAAAAAACCTACGGAAAGAATCAATGAGCGTGGGAACAAATATTCGGAAGCTTCGATTAAGGAAAGCGTTAGAGTTAAATTGGAAACGAATATTGGAAGCATTAAAATAAAATAAAATACGGAAACAATCATTGAGAGTGAGTAACAAATATTCGAAAGCTTCGATTAAGGAAAGCTTTAGAGTTAAATCGGAAACGAATATTGGAATCATTAAAATCACCGACTACTGAGTGTATCGTTAATTTTAAAATATGTTGGTATATAATTTCCAGAAACAAATCTCTAAACCTTTCATAGATAAAAAAAAAAAACCTCCTAAGGGGAACATATTGTAGAGATAATCGATTCTTACATTCTCATCAATGAGGAGCATGTCAAGGCTCATCAGTTCGCCGGACCGTCCGATGTTCCTGCTGGTGTTCCACGCCTTCCAAAAACGCAGAAGCCGGACCTCCGCCGTGTTTGAGCAACGACCGGCATTCAAATCAGCAAGGAGTGTATAGGAGTTTGCCATGGCGGGAATCGTTTGCTTGTTTTTTTTCTTCGAGGGCGTTTGGAATGAGGTCGACATCGCTGGATATAAAGGTATTTATACTCAACCTACAAACAGTTCCTGCGAGAGTCGAAGAGATGAAAATAATGGGTCTAACTGTGCTTAATGATCAACATGTGAGAGTTAATAAGACATTAATGGGAAAGGAAGCGGTTACGTTAGTCCAGAACTTTGTTCCTGCGGCGCTATGGAGGTGGAGGCTCCTGGCAATCGAAGAGAAAACACAAAGAAATCCTAATAAATAATGGGCCTCCAACACATATTAAACCCAGCCCAACATCAATCAGAAAACCGAGCAAGAAAAACCACTTTAAACCGAGACGGGGGAGCTTCAATTTGGTCGGTCTAATTTGAGTAGGTGAATGCTGACATGGCCTTTTTTTGCCCTCTTCACAAATGCTGATGTGGATGCATGAGAAGAGAGAAAAGCCTAATTTATTGTATAAGATTTTCTCGGGTAAATTTTGTCTTGTCAACATATCTACCCTTTTTGAATTTGAGAGAAAATTGGTGAGAAATTTTTACGTAATAAAATGGCATATCATTTGATTTTGACTAATTAATGCTATCATCATTGCAAATCCTATTAGTTTCCTCTAAATACTAATACGGTGGGAAATTTTTACGTAAGAAAATGGCATGCAATTCCTTCTCTATTAGTTTCCTCTAAATACTACTAACGATATGTATTATCATTAGTCGCCAGGTAATACACTATATTTTTTTCTTCTTATTTTAGTTTATTGTGTTTGCTTGTTCATCATAAATTGAACAAAAATTACATCCAACCCAAAAGCAAAATTAACAAACTAACCAAAGTTTTCTTTCTCTCGTTTTTCATCTTCCTATCTTTCTCTATCCACTCTTAAAAAAACTAATTTTGGATTTTTTTTTGTTTGTTTTACAAATAACTCCTAAATTAAATCATTTTTTATTATTAGAGATGAAACTCACTTTGAGAATGGCTTTAGCATTTCTAGAACCTTTCTTAGTTCCATTTAAATAACTAAGTCATTTGTTAGAAGATGGAATTTCAACACTTCGCTATTGCATTTTTAGAATCTTTGCCAGTTCCACTCAAAAAATCATTTTTTCTTTCATTTCTAATGAATTAATCTCTGTTGGTTATGGAGATTCTTCTAAACAATCATGAGTTAGTCTCTCTCTCTCACTTCTAAAAATGCATTTTCACTTTTTGTCTGATTTGTCTAGGTACCCATATCTCTATGTTTTGGGATACCGACAACATGCCATCAATCATAACTGATGAACTGATCGCTCCTAATGTGGATATACGGCTTTGAAGATAAAGAATTATAACTATTTTCTCAGTCATATCATCATTTGTACTTCGATAAGCAACATATTAAAACTTCTAAATATTAACTTCTAATATAAAAAAATAAAATTTTGGTTTGAAGTTGAAAATATAAATAATTTCATCTCGTCAATTTTGTTTAGAGAATAAACCTACCGCTTTTTATTTTGAGAGAAAAATGGTAGAAGATTTTTACGTAAGAAAATGACATACAATTTGATTTTGTGTAATTAATGCTATCCACATTGCAAACCTTAGAATATCTTCATTTCCCTTTCAATTTGTTTTCTCTAACGACTAACTCACGTTGTGTAGCTCGCATTAGTCGCAAGGTATTACATTGTGTTCATTTTTCTCTTATTTTAGTTTATTATGTTTGTTTGTTCATCATCAATTGACCAAAAGTTGCACCCAGCCCAAAAAAACAAAATTCATAAACTAACCAAATTTTATTTCTTCTTTTCTCTTCCTATCTCGTTCTACCCTCTCTAAAAAACTAATTATGGATTTTTACTTCACAAATAACCTTAAATTGAGTCACTTATATTGTTTTTCTTTATTATTATTGGAGATGAGACTCACTCACTTTGAGAGTGGCTTTAGCATTTTTAGAATCTTTCTTAGTTCCATTTAATAACTAATTCAATTTTTCACTTTCATGTGTATTATTGTATACATGATTTTTCACATTCTTACTTCTTATCTCTAATAAATTAAATCTCTTGTAACTATGCAGATTCTAAATGATTCATCTCGTTTCAAACCAATCATGAGTCCATTTCTCTTTCTCTATTAGTTATGCTTTTGCATTTTTCACATTTTCTTTGATTTTTCACAAGTTTTATGCATCATCCCCATGTTATGGGATGCTGAGAATATGCTTTCTAACATAGTTGATGATCGATGATATTTTCACTAGCCGAAAGGAGTCTGCTGATAGACAAATTGTGGAATCACTGATGAGCTATGCTCATGATTACTCAGGTCAACCTATTTTACTAGTCACAACTGATGGAGATTTTAGGAATTCATGTATACGTGATTTGAAATGCATTAATGGGAATATTGTTCCGATAGGGGCAAATTATTAAAATACTTACATACTTTTATCACTTAGGAGCCGTGAAGAGACGTTTTCAAGTAGTGTTCGATTGATTATGTATTAATCAATATCCGATTGACTACATGATTTATGTTATGATCACTATACCATCTTGTCAGCGATTCAAAGTGGTCTTCGGAATGTAAAGAAGGCATACTTTCCATCAGTGGCCAAGTTATTTCATGCCAATTGGATTTGGGAACAAATGCAAAGAAGACATACTTTCCATCAGCGTTGAGTTGGCATATGATTTGTTAAGTTTGTATAAGAACTAATGGATTTTTGCAAGATTTAGCTCAACAATTTTTTTTGTTTAAATATATATCTTTTGAACTCTTTGTGACTTTAACATTTTAAAGCCAATCTTAGGGTTTCCACTGTTGAGCATGTTTTCATGTGAGCCCTCTTAAATTTCTATATTTTCTGTTTTGCTGGAACTAGTCAAAATAATTTACCATTAAAGTTATGATTCGATAAATTGATAGGATTCTAATGCAAAAAACGTGTTAGAGTACCCGCATTAAAGGTCTCGCTTATTGGCTCTCATGATTAAAATAGTAATATAGAAAATGAAATGATAATCTCTTCTTGGAGAGAGTCTCTTGCAATGGTGAGAGACCCAAATACATGTGTCAACGTATAGTTACATTCTTTTTTATAGTTAAATTTTAATTACACAACAAAATTATCTAAACTATTAAAATAGATGATGTATTGACTTTTTCTTTGTAGTGCTATAACAAAGGGTGAAACCAGGACTGTGCCAATTAGTTCCACCGCAGCAGTTTTTTCCTTGTTCTTGCCATCTTCTAGGTATCAATCTTCTTGTAGTTGTGGTACTTTTGGCCAGTGAACAATGGTCTTATCTCGCTTGTTACAACGTTCCTTGTTCTATCCTTGTCTTTGCAGTGCTATAACAAACAGTGAAACTAGGACTGTGCCAATTAGTTCCACTACTAAAGCAATCTGTTTGAAGTTGTTGTACTTCTGGCAAGTGAGAAATGGTTGTATCTCGCTTTGTAACAACATTCCTCTTTACCTTCTTGTGTATTTGCAGAGCTCCAACAAACGTACTAAGAAACAAGCTACTAGGATGATATGTGCTTATTGGCAAGTGAGAAATGGTAGATGAACTCTCCTTCCTCGTGGCTAGAACAGAACGACGCTTCCCATTATCAGTCTATCGATTCAGTGTTTGCTCAGTACAGTTCTGTTTTTGGTTTTGACATGACGAGTGGCCACGCTGCAAACTCGAGGTTTGGGTATGAAGATGTCTAAAGAAGTCACTCGATATTATAATGCTGGGCCAAACCATGGGCTCTGATACCATGTTAGATTCGGGTATATTATGGGTTTCCAACTTAAAACCAATTGACGATAAGTGGATTGGCCCTAATCCTTTATATATTACTTAAGGTCCTTTTGATTTCCCGATGTGGGATATATTATCCCTAATAGTGCCTCCTCTATTGGTCCTTCTTCTCACGTAAACGGTTCAAACTCGAGGTTGGGGTATGGAGATTACTTGCCACCAGTTCACCACCAGGTGTGAAATCCCATCAGATCTCTCAGGTTGGGTGTTTGAGCATTTGAGATTGTGGTTTGGTAATGGGCAACGCTTGTTTTTTTCTTCTACTTACTTAGCATCTCTGGACCAGATAGTAACAGTCTTACAGATTAATCCCGCCTCATAGCCTACAGCAAAGGGAGGTTTACTTTCAAAGAAACAGAGCTTACTTACTTAGCATCTCTGGACCAAGGATACAATAGAAGTGATCCATCTGACCAAACCAAGCAACGGCCAAGAGACAACAAGTAACAGCTTATCAAAATCAACCAACTCAGAACTGATGACTTTTATTCTAGCTACATTGTCAGTTAAGAATAATTCTTTTCGCCTTTGGAAAAAAAAAACTCAAATAACCGTTGTCATGTGGTTCGACGTCATGCCATTACATGGCAATGATTGATTGTTTTCTCTACTCAAATAATCAAATTATATACACGGCAAATTAATATCTTTGGTAAACTAACACACATGTTGAATTTTAGCTGATAAAAAATACATTAAAAATTGCAACAAGATCATCATACACAGCTGTCACAATATACATATATATATATATATATATATATATTTTTTTTTTTTTATATATTTATATTTTTTGTGCTGTCACCAATATATTACTTTTTAAAGAATTCTTTAATTTTGAAAGTCTCTGTCTTCTTCGTAAACTTTTAATCTTATATAGAGTAAATGAAAGTATCAACATTTATCCTTGATTCCAGATGGCGAACGACGGCAATGGCGGTAACGTGACTGATCCTTTACTTCCGACACCATCGGAACTTAAAGACCGCTTAATCTTCGGACCACCATACTCACACTCTGGTCTCATTGACGCTCCCTCTCAACACACTTCGCCCTCATCCCCCGCTACAACCCGTCACGGATTCAACCGATCAAGATCAGCCCCTAGTGTGACTGTAACCAACGACCTATCTCAACCTGATGATCTCGTGTTCCACCGATCATCTTATTACTCAAATTCGAAGTCAACTTTTAGACAAACTATTGCTCTGATTATTGTGTATCTCACGGTTATGTCGGTTGCTACGGTTCTTTATGGAGATCAGGCTTTAAAGACATTACCCGGTTGGCTTCTTGCTGCGATTTGGCTGCTTGTGTCCACTTTAGCTGTTGCTCTAGCGTTTTTCTATTTGGCTAAAGCATGGATGGATAAGAGGAACAGAGTGTGGGCGAAGAGAGTCATTAGCGAAAGCATGTCTGCATGTGACTTCTTTGCTGCAGATATCAACAACAATGGCTACCTGAGGTATCATTCAATTTACGATGAATGCCTTTAGAATTTACTTTTGATGTTAGTTCCAAAGTTTCACGTTCTTGAAAAGAAAATCAATATATTATTGAATATGATATGTGTCTCAGGTTTATACATGTTTTCTTGAACTCGAGGAAACTTTAATAAAGATTGCGTAAGACACAAGTTTTTTTGTTTTATGAGGTGTCCTGAACATTCTTTGTTGCAGTACATCGGAGTACGTCATATACAAATTGAGGCAGGTTGATAAGATAACTTATGAAGACATTAAACTGATCACTGACCAGTTTGACCAGATGGACAGAGCTAATCATGGGAAGATTACTCTTTCGGATCTTTTGGAGAACGATTTATCCACTGCGTCTCCAGTTTAGGAACACACGTTACAACATGACTGAAGGTGACAGTGAAGATGTTTCCGGTTTAACTGAACCGGTTTGAATTCTGATTACTCTTTGGTGTTTTTCTTATAGCAGAAAATGGTTGGTGTGATGAGAATGAAGGAGGTTAGTGCGGAGGGAGGATGAAGAAGTTCGATGTTCGGTTTCTTTACGTGTGTATTCTTAAGTTCCTGTTGATGTTTCCTTTTTATCCTAATCTTCTGTTACGGTTTGGAGTTAATAATTGGTTTGAAGAGTGTAATTGTTAATGCAAATATTGGTTTCAACTTTACTGGGAACGAAGTCTCTAATTCGGAGATTAACAAAGTCCAATCATCAAAATCAAGACTTCCACTTGAAAACGTTTCCTTTAGCCTATCATTGAGATGAAAACACCAAACTCAGTGAAGTGACTTAGAGTATCTTTATTGCTGCAAACGTTTTTTGGTTTCTTAAATTTTTTTTCTTAACCATTTTGATTTATTTAAAAAAAAAACACAATTAAAATGAACCAATTGCAGGTCACCACGTGTTGTGGAGCCCGCAAACAGTTCTGAAAACCCTTGAAAAACGTCTTTTGTTCTGCGACAATAGCGCACGAGTTTTACAAAAAGATGGTGGGGCCCACGTATAAGAAACGCCCTTTAACCACCGATAAAGATTTTCTTAGAGCACTAATATCGCAGTCTCCTCACCCTATCTTACGGGGTGGGGGCCATGATTTATGAAAAAACTATCTTCTATGTTGTAGAATAAGCGACGTTTGCAGAGAGTTTTTTACATTGTTTTGCGGGTCTCATGACACGTGGCAATCCACAATTAGTTTTTTTTTTTTAAAACACATAAAACAAAAACAAAAAAGTTTAAGAGACCCACCTACCCGTCTCCGTGATATTAATGCTCTTAGAGCACCACTCTTAACTTAGAATTTTAGCAAAAGAATAATTAAAGAATTAGTAGGTCTCACTCACCATTTAAAAACTACATTTTCTTCTATTTTGTAAGTACCGAATTTTGAGAGGTTTTTGGATTGTTCGCAGGACCCACCGACATGTGGCGACCCACGATTGTTTCTTTTAATTATTTTTTTAATCATACCAAAAAAAAAATCCAAAACTTACCTATGAAATCATACATGCGTTGAACATGCTCTTATTGATTCTACTCGCCTCTTCAGAGTAATGGCGGAACCATTCTGACTGGAATGGGAAGAGAGAGAGAGGAAGAGAATTAGGGTTTACCAGTAGAACCGTCTTATTCTGGAGGTGGAGACGTTGTTCCATATCGGAGACGGCGGTGCTAACCTCCGTAGTCACTATTGAAGGAAGGACAAGACTTTAGAGTGTTGTTTCTGTGTCAGAGATTTCAATATGACTCTAGTTATTATTAGTTAGTCCCTCGTGTTGGCTATAAATTAATTTACGCCCATAATTTTTTTTCTTTTTACTGAACACATCCATATAATCTTCAAACACACTACGCATCTTAAATTCCCCCTGGATCAATTACCATCTCCCCTTGCTTGGATGGAAAACTCTATGAAAAATTTCAGGATACTTGTTGGACCAGAATCAAAAGCCACTAGGTCCACCTTTAACTCTAATAGTAGAGAATCCATAAACTCTGACGCTCCTCTCAATATCTTCACGTTATTTATCTCAATACAATCATGACCATGACTATTCTCATCGTCAACTTTTCAGCTAGCCACAAATACCATATCCAATAATCTACCTAAATAAGATTCAATATGATATGAATCTCTAGCAGACATCCGCTCTGATACTAATTGTAAGAACATGGTATGTGGTTAAAACTTATATGTTTGAGTGTGAGGTATTCGTATGCAAGCATATATGAGCATAAAACAAAAACACAGAGATTTGTTAATGAGGTTCGCTTCCTACATTCCTGGGACCATGTCCAGAATTTGTTCACTAGAAAAGACTGCAATAAACCATTGCTATATAGTATCCAACACACACATGTCCCTACCACTCTAACCTGGAATTACAATGAAGAAGCTACTACTTAATATCTTCGCTTGACAAGCATAGTTTTCTATAACAAAACTACCAACAGATTTCTCCATCTGCCTGGTAGGACGACGTTACACACATCCATGTGCATCTTCAATAAACCCTAAATGTGTGACCTTTTCCTATCGTGCGTTGTTCTCTTTATACTCCAATGAGCAAAACCCTAAACTCATTAAGCCCACTAATCCTTTCTTATTAGTTAGGCTTTCCTTATCAATAAATTCCTTGACGCCCACGTGATTCTTTTCTTTTTTCTTTTAATACATATTTCGTCGGCCAAAAATATGGAAATATTCTACTTCAAAGCATCTTGTCGAATCTGTTTTATTCTCTGAAGCAAGCGTGTGTCGTACACTCTATGTGTGTAACACAATTACGTGAACCAAAACTTTAACACTATAGCAATCTATCAAGCTCCAAGTTTTTGAACTTACACTTTTCACCATCGATAATCATGCTCTAATGAAGATGATTGAAGCTATAAAAGCTTCATGGGTCAAAACAGAACTTACCATGTACTCGAGACAAGAAATTTGAACATAAAACAGTGCGGCGATCAACATACAATACTATAGAGAACTATTGTATAGCAGCTGAGAGAGCAGACTTTATTCTTCTGTTTGAAATAGTGTTACCAAAAATTGTCTTTTCAGTACAATATTCAAATTCAATATAATATACATTAGTCCAGGTGGTGTTACCAGAAAAGCAGTACAATATTGACATATATGCATGCAGTGCTTTTGCCACAACCAAGCTATAGGAAAGACCCATCAAGTCTCTTATAACAACAGAGATCTCCTCAAATAGCAGTCTATCATCGTTTACATTACTCAAAGAAGAAACACAAAGCATACCCTATAAATTTAGATATATACCTACAAAGATCATGGTGATCTTCATACGCAGCAACAGCGCAAGTATAGTAGTCCAGCCATATATCTACAGAATAAGTAGGTGCTTGTAATGCTCGTTCGAAAACTTAGCACACCAACTTCCAAAGTTAAGCAGCGTTTTAAAAAAGGAAATTGCTAATTAGCCAAAGTCTTAGGTAATACACTGTATCATCTAGAAGTAATTGTAAATATGTCCTCATACTTTTATGTATTAGATTTAAAAGTACTAAGTTTCCTAAATTTACAGTATTTACCCAAAATTTACAATGAGGACTCGTGACTAAAGTTGGAATGGAACAATGTGGATAACTTCTTCTTTAAAGTTTGGAAAGTAATGTCTTTTATTTAATTTTTTGAATATATGTTTTCCCCCGTTTCAAAAAAACCGTTCATTATAAAAAGAAGGCCAAAGATTGAAAGATAGAGAGGGAAAAGAGAGCGAGAAGGTTTCTTGATTACTCTAAGTCAAGAAGAAACCAGAGAGAGAGAGGATACTTTTTCTACGTGAGAGAAGAAAAGCTCGACAAGTTCTCTGTTAACAGATTCCGAGTAGAAAAAAATGGGAAGAAAATCGAGAGCGAGCAAAAAGCGCGCGAAAGAAGACGTACGCAACAACAACAACAACGTAAACGCAGAGGTAACCATGGCGGCTGCGGTTCGGAGGGTGCGGGAAATACTCAGTGAAGAGTCCGAACAAAAGATCCGCGAAACGCTCCTACAATGCAATTTGAATCACTACCAAGCCATGGTGCGCCTTGTTTCTCTCCAAGGTTTCTTCCTTTTTCTTTGTAGGTTTTAAGCTTTCTCTGATTTCTTGAACCCTTTTCGCATTTCTTGATTAGATTTAACTCACCAGCTAGCTGTATTCTTCTTCTTCTTCTTCTTTGTTGCTTCCTTGCCACGTATGCATTTATTTTGTATAGTTTCTGCAATATCGCTCTGCTTTTTGTGTTCTTTGCGTTGTGATTTCTTGTTCATCAAGTATCTATGTTTCTGATGATGTTGATTCGCTGTGTTTGATTCAGAGCTAAGGAATCAGCAAGCAACCAGTACTCTATTGCCTGATTCAACTTCTACTACCCTTGTTTCAAATCAAAGGTCCTTTCCATGTCCTTCTCTGCTGATTTCTTATCAATTAAAGTTCTTTTTTTTGCATATCTTAAATGTCTATGCAGTGCTATAACAAATGGTGAAACCAGGAATGTTCCAATTAGTTCCACTGAAGCAGTTCCTACCTTGCATGTGCCATCTTCTAGGTATCAATCTGTTTAAAGTAGTTGTACTTTTGGGCAAGTGACAATGGCTGTTTCACGCTTGTTTACATTCTTTGCACTCCTTGTCTCTTTGCAGTGATGTTACAAATGGTGAAACGAGGACTGTGCCAATTAGTTCCAGTGAAGCAGTTCCACCCATGTCATCTGAGCCATCTTCTAGGTATCTATTTAATCTTCTTGAAGTTGTGGTACCTCTTGCCAGAGAACAGTGTCTGTATCAACATTACTTGTTATTTCCTTGTCTTTGCAGTGCTATAACAAACGGTGAAGCCAGGAGTGTCCCAATTAGTTCGAATCGTTCCTTGTCCGAGCCATCTTCTAGGTATCAAGTTGCTTGAAGTTGTTGTACTCGTGGCAAGTAAACAATGGCTGTATCTCGCTTGTAACATTCCTTGTTCTATCCTTTATCTTTGTAGTGCTATAACAAACGGTGAAACCAGAAGTGTACCAATTAGTTCAAATGTAGCAGCTCCCCCCTGGTCTATGTCATCTTCTAGGTAATCATTCTTTTTGAAGTTATGGTACATCTTGTGTCCAGTGAACAATGGATCTATCTGGCTTTGTAACATTCATTGTGTCTTTTGCAGAGCTCCAACAAACGTTAAAACTAAGAGACAAGCTACTAGGATGATATCTGCTTATGGGCCAACAATGGTTGAAGTTTTGAGGGGTTTACAACAGAATCAAACTAAATCTCCTGTCAAGGCTGATTCTCCCTTGTTACATCAGAAGCCAGATGCTACTAATCCAATCTCTAACTCAATTACTGAGTCTGATGCTCCAAAAGATCCTCAACACTCAGCTTTTCCAATGGATACAAGACAAAGCATTGCTACTGTATCTCCACTTGGTCCTAGGCCACCACAGACTTTCATGGGCGAGGTATCAAATCTTTTCCCATCGTTAAAACGACTTGTCTGGTTAATATTTTGGTTTTGATTATTAAAATTTTTGCAGGCATTTGGAATCTATTGTAGCTCTGAACCACATAATAATCAACAAGGCATGAAGTGGCGTCAGTATGGTAATATGATTAACAGAACAGGCCACCAGCAGCAGAACAGGCCACCACCAGCACCGATTCAAAAACGTGGTGGTAGTAACAGAAACAGCAACACTTTGGCGCATTTTGTTAATATGATGAACTCTCCTTCCTCGTGGCTAGAAGAGAACGACGCTTCCACTTATCAGTCTATCGATTCAGTGTTTGCTCAGTACAGAAACAATACCATGTCTCTGTCAGCTACCTCTACTGTTCCTTCTTCTCACGGTTCTGATTACGGTTTTGACATGTACGCTGCAAACTCGAGGTTGGGGTATGAAGATGTCTCAAGAATTCAGGTCTGAAAACCCAATCAAATCTTTCTTAGGGTTTTTGAGCATTTGAAGTTGTCTTTACACCAACTCGATGACTTGTGTCATATAGGGTAACGCTTTGTTTTTCTTCTTCTTCTTGGTTTGTGGTTTTGATCTCAGGGTCGAAGCCAATTTGAGAGGCGTGTGGAAGGAGAAGATAGTAACAGATCCATCTCACCTCATAACCAACAGGAAGGGGAGGCTTACTTTGAAAGAATCAGAGCTCACTTAGCTTCGTCTCTGGACCAAAGCCAGCAACGGGAGACTTACTTTGAAAGAATCAGAGCTCACGTAGCATCGTCTTTGGACCAAAGCCAGCAACGGCCAAGAGACAAGTAGTGTAACTTTTCAAAATCAACCAATTCCAGAACTCATGACTTTTTTTTCTAGTGTATATTAGCTACAACATTGTAGGTAAAGACTTATGCTTTTAGGCTTGGAGATAAAAAAAAAAAAAATAGTTTTGTCCTGTGGTTTGATATCTTCCCATCATTTTCACTTTCAATGTTTGCATGGGAACGATCGATTGGTTTTTCTTCTAGTGAAATAATCAAAATAATACACGTCAAATTAATATCTTTGGTATACTACTATTGTTACATCAACATAACAGACGTGTTCAATATTAGCTGCTTGTAGATACATTAAAAATAATTGTAACACAATCATACACAGCTATCACCAGAATTGTGTCAATCAATATTATCATTATCTTAAGACTAAGTCTATCATATTAAAATTTAAAAGTCTCTGTCTTCTTTGAAAAACTTTAATCTTATTCTTATGTAGTCATAGTAAAAAGAAAGTTTCAACCTTTATCAACTCATAGAAACTTTAATCATATTGCTGCGGTTTAGCTGATCTCGTCTACTTTAGCTGTCTCTCTAGCGTTTTTCTGTTTGTCTGAAGCAATAAGGGATAAGAGGAACAGAGAGTGGGGGAACAGAGTCCTTGGCGAAAACATGTCTGTCTATCTCGCAGTTTTTCTTGATGCAGATTTTGACAACAATAGCTACGTGAGGTATCATTCCATTTCTGTGCTGTTTTTTTTTCTACCGGTTGTAATGTTTAGTTCCCGCTAGATTTGAATTTTGATGCCTTGCCTTAGAATTTCACGTTTTATGTCAGTTTCAATTCGGGTCATCGGATCCACGTTTTTAGAGTCTGGAAGATTTGGACTCGTATAGGTGGTACCCAAAGTTTGATTTCAGATCACTATCGATTTCAAGTTAATTTCAATCTAATTTTTTAGAACCATTTAATAACCAACAGATATTGGATGGTTCGGTTCGATATTTAATACTTAAAATATCTGAAGACCCGGAAATATCTGAATACTAGAAAACCTAAAAAAATAATGAATATCCAATAAAATAATAATAAGCTAAAAAAATAAAATTTAGAAATATATGTGAAATACCAAAAATACCAAGAGTACCCAAAATACTTGATATATAAAAAATCTAGGTAATCTGAATACCCAATCAATCTGGAATAGAATTCTGATTTTGGGTCAAATAAATTCTGTAATACCAAATAAAATAAAATGAGCCGGCCTGGTCTGAACTGGTCTTCTCAAGTTGGTTCCAGTTTGGGTTTTAGATCCGGGCAAATGTCCATACCAATTCCAAAGTTTCATTCTTTGTTCATGTTCTTGAGTTCATTAGATTTGGATATTCTTGAGTCTGTTAGGTTCTACGGTTTATGCATGTTTTTTGTAAAGGTTTATGCATGTTTTTCTTGAACTCGCGCAAACTTGAATAACATTTAAAAATTGCGTACAACACAGGTTTTGTTTTCTTCTCGTTTCCAAGTTCTTGAACGAGTTGATTCCTCGACACGAAAGCATTTTCTCTGGTTAGTACGTCATTTTCAAACTGAACCAGATGGGAAAATAACGCATAAAGATATTAAACTGATCTCTAACCAGTTTGATAAGATAGACCGAGCTAGTAGTGGAAAGATTACTCTTTCAGATATTTTAGAAACCAGAACCAAGGATTTATCCACCGCGTCTTCGGTTTAGGAACCCAAATTACAACATGGTTGGAGATGACATTGAAATCTGCAGGTGTCGGTTTGCTTAAATCGGTTTGATATCTGAATGAAGTGTGCGTTTTTTTCTGCAGTTTCCTTGACCGGATTGATGTCATACCTGTAGGGCTGGGTTGCGGGTCAAACCCGCCCCGCTAACCCGCCAACCCGCGGGTTTTAGTTATTTTTTTTGTCAAAAAGTCTGACCCGCATAACCCGCAGACGTATAAATTTACACCCGCACCCGCCCCGCTTAATTTTGCGGGTAACGCGCGGGACCCGTGGGTTATATATATATTTTAAAAAAATAATTTTTTAATTTATTTTTTTATGAAAAATAATAAAATAATATATTTATAATAAAATTATATATTTTAAATTTTTTTAATTATTATTTTTTTAAAAACACCGTATTTAAAAAAAAATATTTATTTTCCAAAAAAAATACTATTTTCTAACAAAAAAAACACAATTTTTTTTAAAAATGAATTTTTTTTTTTGCGGGTTGGCGGGTACCCGCGATTCAAAATCCTCTAACCCGCACCCGCCCCGCATAAAATATTCATAACCCGCACCCACACCCGCCAATCGATTTTTTCAAATTGTTCAACCCACACCCGCCCCGCAGCGGGTAAAACGGAGCGGGACCCGCGGGTAATGAATCATATTCCCAGCTCTACATACCTGTATATAGCGCTGGGGCTTTTATCCAGGATCCGGATTCGATCCGATATCCGTTCCAGATCCGCTCTGAAATTAGGATATCCGAGAGTGCCTGGATCCAAATCCGGATAGTAAAATCTCGGATCCGTGCAAATCGAATCCGGATCCGGAAACCTTAATTTTTAGGTCGGGATATCTTAATTTTTAGGTCCGGATATCCGGATTCGGATCCGTATTTTTAAAATATATTATTTATTTATTATTAATTATATATGATATATTAATATTTATATATAAAATAAGTTTAATAATATTCTATTTTTATATTAATAATATTATATGTCATATATATATATTCATAAATTATGCTTAAATATTTATTTTATGTATTATTTTTTTTAAATTATTTTTTTTTTTTAATTATTTTTACGGTTCCGAATGCGGATACCCGCGGATATTACAATATCTATACGGATATCCGAGCTTCGGATATCCGGAAGACACGAATCTGAATCCATATACTAAAATCACGGATCCAATGAATCCGGATCTGAATCCGAATCTGGATACTTCAAATTTTCCGGATATCCGGATTCATCCTACCCCTACATGTATATATGCCAATGGTTTGCTTCGGTTTGATGGATTGGTTCAGGACTCAGGAGTTGAATAGTTTTATTTCATGCATATACATCTTAATTTATTTCTGATTCGTACTTCGGTTTAAATTAAAAATCTTTGTTGCGGCTTGAAGTAAATTAACTTGTGTCCCGAATATTAAAGACCAAATAATGAATATTAAACATAAAAAATTAAGGGAAAACCGCATAAATTCTTTTGAAATTGACATTTACTATCACTTTAATTTTTCTAGTTTTTTCTCTAGCACTTTAAATCTTCAAAGTGACATTTGTCACAAAAAACCATAAACTTAAAAATCTGATTTGTTAAACAGGTAAAATATGTAGTTTATCAAGTTTTTTCTGAAAAATAAATATTTAATAAATATAAATTTAATAAATAATCAAAAAGTAAATAAAAATCAATTGAGTTTTCAAAAAAAATTAAAGAAAATTGCAGAACATAAAGAAAATATTATTGAAAATAAATAAATTAAAATACCTGAAATTAAATAAAAGTCAAAAAATTAAACAATAAATAAAGAAAATTCACAAATTGAAAACTCAAAAGTTCAAAATAGTTTTTAGAAAATTACAAGATTATGTTTTTAACTATTTGAAATCATCGACTTCAACAATGATATGTTTGAAATTTTTATTGTCAACGATGGTATGTCAATTTTATTGAAAAATTGCATTAAAGTTACAAGATTGCTTTTAAAAAAAAACTGAAATATTATACTTGAGAATAAAAAAATTAAATATATCACTATTCACGATGATGGTTTCAAACTGTTTTCAATTTATTTTTTAAAAGTTTGTGACACAATTGTCATTTTAAAAGTTTAAAGTGTTATTTAAAATAATTCAAGATTTAAAGTGACAGTAGATGTCAATTTAAAAGTTTTTTATGCATTTTTTTCAAAAAGTTAACGTGAATTTTGATGCACTTCAGTCAATCTCTTGGTGCTAAACTAATTATGGGTAGTGTTTATATTTTTTATAATTCTTATAAAAATCAAAAAGAAGAAATATATATATATGTTGTCACTCGCCCTAATAAGAAACCTGTATTCTCAACAATGGAAACTTCAACAATCCCATGCTCAACTTTTTTGCGAATCATGAGCATACCGAAGACGACTTTTCTCAAATATCATTTTATTTTAAGTTAACTCTGGAAATCTAATTCCATTACTTAAAAGTAGTATTAAAAATTCATGTTTTTACATTTTAAAAGTAGCTATTATTATGGACATGCTAAAATATAAAAAATGAATGATAAAATACAGAACTAGCAATGTATAAATTACTCAACAAAAAATATTGAACTCAAGTATTTATGCTATTTAACATTTTAGTTATTATATATCATATCATTTTGTCCCTAACTAGTAAGGACTTTCAAAATTAAAAAACATAAAACCTTTACAAGATATTCAAGATAAACTTTGCATCAACACTTTTCACGATAAATTAAATCTTGTATTGAATAAACTGCTTAGAGTATACCCAACAAAATAATGAAAAAAAATTAGCTAACGAAAGGAGCCATAATCACGCGTCATGTTTACCTCTTTTGTAAAGCATTCCCTTCCAAATCTTAATATTTGACTAGGTGATGTCCCACGCAAATTAATATGCGGATTTATTTTATGTTTTATGATTGTAGAAAAAATATATTAAAATCTTTTCAACAAAACATAATAGATATGAAAATAGTTATCGACCAAAATAATTAAAAAGATTATATATAAATTTAGTATTTGACAAACTAATGCCGGCCTAAGCTTTTAACGTATATCTGCAATATACAATATTATAACTTCAGTTTTGGGGTTATGAAGCCACGAAAGCAGACTCCTTTCCCTCTCCTCTTTTACCTGGTTCTTCTTACTTCTTTACCTTTCTTTGGGTGTTCCCTGACTTCTTTCTACTTTCAATAAACTTTGGCTGAGACCTTGTTATTAGTTTTTAGTGTAGATGATGATGAGTCTTTTGGTTTTGTCACACAGAACCGTCTTCCCCTCCCATTGCATAGCTGTACTCTTTCTATTTAGAACGACAACATCAATTTAGAATAAGTATGGTCACATATGAATAGCGAAAAAGAGCTAATCTTATTCAATTAAGAGCAAGTGCATTGATAAACTTTAGGTGGGTATCACACACTTTCCCAAAAAAAATATTAAAATAATAGGAAAGTTGTGAACTCAGGTCACATGGATTTTTTGCTGTGAACTGATATCAACATTATTACGTAGGTTCCATGCCACGTGGTGGCCTACGATTGATCTACTAATTTTTTTTTTTTAAAGTCAAACAGAAAAAAAAATAATAATAATAAAAAATACTTTTGTGAATCTCAGTGCTGGTTCATGAATGTAAATGTTCTAAGCGCAAGGCCTGGTACCAGCTTTGAACGTAAAGCTCTTCATCAATCTATTGATCACATCTTCTTGACTCGCCTAAACAAACAGAATCTGTTTGACCCAAAAACGAAAATGTTCTACTAATAAAAGTCTTCATCTATTGTAATAGATTTCATATAAGTAAATACATGAATAGTGGTCTTCTCCACTTCTTTTGCATAGATTTTCTCTAATGGTTTTAAATATAAAAAGGAAAACCAAAAAATAAAAGAGACAAGTTAAGAGAATAACATTTCTTACAAAAAAAAAGTTAAGAGAATAACATGCTTTAATCTATTATTGGAAACACTACCTTGTTTTTTTTTGTTGGCACCTATTGACGTCTTTGGTCCATCGAGAATCATGACTCATTAATCTTTACTCTTTAGTTGCTTTTTTGGGATCATCGAGAATCTATCAAAAGATTGTTACAAAGCCTGCGATTGTGGTTGTGTACAATCATTTGCTTTTTATTAAATAATATTTTTTTCGAGAAAGAGTTTAAAAAAAGTTAACATACAGCATCTCGAAAACGTTTTCATCATTTTCGTTTTCAAGCAGTATTAGAACCACGGTTACTTTTTCAAATTATGTAACCAAGTTTCTTATAGATATATGCATGATGCTGCTTATAGTTCGTAGTTTGAATCTAAGAACGGGAAACACGAGCAGCTTATATTTTTCTTTATTTAACCTTATAGGGCTAAGCAAATAAATGTAAAGTGTAAAGTCAATAGATGCTCATTGTCATTTTCAGTTAGGAATCATGTTTCGTTTCCTTGTTTATTTAATTTGAACATATTACTTTTCCATCATTTCCATACTTTTTACGATATACTTATACTTATGAGAATTATATTCTTTCAAAAGCATTAAAACATTATATATAATCAATTTGACCATATTTCTTCTTTCATTGTTTTAATATTCATTTCACATGCTCAAGGGAAGTTCTAATGTGAAAACTGAAAAGCATTTTGTGCAACGTTGTGACATTGATAATTCGTCAGCATTTCAGTCGTACTTTCCTTATCATATATATTTTCAAACTTTATTCTTTTAACATAATAACATCTAAATTACGTTTTAGCTCCAATTGCAGTAATTTTTAAAAATAATATAAACAGAGTGTGTTCTAACTTTCTAAGCTTTATTTTGGTTTTAATCAGAAAGCTTCTTAACTTGTAATCATTGCCCCCTTGACTTGGAATATTAAATTCATAAATTAACGTCTGACACTGATATTTAGGGTTGAAGAATAAGACGCCGTAGTCCACCACGTAACAAGTCATGTGTCGGTTACGGTCAAATGCCGGTGCCAACATTTAACACGTGTCATCCTGACAACCATAACATTCGCCATCGTCATCTCTTGTGGTTGAATTTTTGACTTGGCTCATACAAATATGACCGGAGACTGACTGTTTCCGTTTAACCATTAGGCATCGGCTTCCTCCACAAACTTGTTCCCACCTTCTCCCACTTTTCTATAAAATGTTAATAATAACTTTTTACGTCTTGCGTTAAGGCCCCAAGAGAAAGGTAATATACTAAAAGAGCCCCAGAATATGTCCTCATGTTGATCATGTGGAGGCATCTAAATTTTAAATTTATTTTAAAATTTAAATCCCGATGCTTTCCCTTTATAGACGTGATGTTCTTTTTTTTTATCACAAATATTCATGATGTTCACATTAAGCATTTAAAGAAACAAAGCCAAGTCATGTTTCCTCACTCGAGGCCACTTTTGTAACTCCATTTGGAAGGTAAATATGCTTTTCGTCAAACTCCTTTATAAAAACTTTCATTTTATTACTAAAATAATTAAAATGCCAAACCTTTTAATCATTCACACCCTAGTTCATTCAACTTTAGGAATGTTAATATATTTGTTTACTAGAAACTCATATTCAAGAACGCAAAATTTACTATATTATTATTTATTAAGAAAGACATATTAAATATTACATATTTTCAAACGGCATAAATATGTGAAGACCCAGAGTCTTAACACCAAATATAGACCGACTAAATACATTATAAACGTAAAAAGTTATTCTTCCTTGCTTCTTTCGTCTTCTCAACTATCTCTTCTCTTTGTTTTGTTTCTTTTTCCATTTTTCTTGGTCTGAGATTCCTCTCTTTGTTAGTCATCATGTCCAATGAAACCAAAGATCTTAACAACTATCACTACACTTCATCGTATGATCATTACAACAACATTAACAGCCAAAGTGTTATGAATCTCCCTTACGTTTCTGGTCCATCCACTTATAATGCAAACATTATCTCACCCCAAATCGGTTCTGATCTACACTCGAGTCCCCAAGGAGCGTACGGATTGGGTTTCGAGCTATCGCCATCTTCCACCGAGTTTTTCAATTCTCAAGAAAATGATTTTTATAGTGCATATAATTATAATATTAGTCACAAGAGTCATGAAGTTGTCGGTGGTGGTGGTGCAATCGGTGAGAGTGAAACTAAGGTTTCTGCATCCCCTTCTTCGAGTGAGGCCGATCATCATAACGGCGAAGATTCAGGCAAGAGCCTGATGAAAAGAGAAGCCTGCGATGGACTTAAAGATGATCAAAGTTCTCAGAAAGTGTAAGTTTCCTAAGTTTTTCTTTTTGTAGTCAAACTTTCACATAGTTAAGCAAGATTGAAATATTGAGAGTTCACATGAATCATGATCAGACTTTTATTTGAGAATTTATCACTAAAGGCTACTATTATTTTCTCTAGTTAAAGACCAAGACATTAATTAATTATTTGAAGATATAAAATGCATATCATGGTTTTCAGTTTTACGCTATCGTCTAACTAACTATAAATAACTAAACGTATTAATCTTGATTTGGTGCAAGTATTAATCTTGATTGTTTTATAGGAAAAATACATATAGAAAATTGATATCATAATATGACACCTTTAAGAATGCCGTGGGGGCTTCTGAAAGATGTAATTTAGCATAAACATGGTTAGCTAGAATGCTAATTCTATATAAATGAAAGAACGATAAATTAAAGTATCTCAATCACAAAAGCTCGGTATTTTATCTGTTGGCATGATTTAATATATATATATATATATATATATATATATATATATATATAAAATTTACACCAAAAAAAACGATATATTTATTTATATGTTTATGTTATATATGTGGATATTCTGATTCTGATTTTAAAATTGTTTATTGAATTATTTTTACCTATTTTATGGATGAGCTATCAGCCCTAATAACCCACTTGAACATAAATAAAGACGAGTTCCGTGTTCTAGTAGACTATCACCTAAGATTATTGTATTGCTTGTGTCGGAGCAATCATATATGCTTAGCAATATTAACTACATCGATCAAAGTCAGTTGCATGGTACGCTATCATTAATTACAAAATTGTCTATTATAGCTAAGCATTCATTTAATTGCGTAATACACGGTATATTACCCTTTCAGAGTTAAAACCAAGAAGAAAGAGGAGAAGAAGCAAAGAGAGCAACGAGTCTCGTTTATGACGAAGACAGAAGTTGATCATCTCGAAGACGGCTATCGTTGGAGGAAGTACGGCCAAAAGGCAGTCAAAAACAGTCCTTATCCGAGGTAACTTACATTATACTTTATTATATATATTACACAAATAAATAAGTACAGTAAATTAAAGACATGTTGAGAATGTAGCTTTTAGTTTAGCTTTGCTATCAAATTTGCAAAACCCATTACTTTCCACTAATTAAAAAAAATATTTTGATATTCTTAATAAAATACAGAAACTAGATTTTGTCTTAGCATCTTTTTTGTTTCCCATTTTCTGAAACTATTTTGATTTCAATTTGAAAATTTGTTCATAAGCATATGTATAAAGATAATTCACTTCAATTACTGTAATCTAAATTTCAGGTTTTAAATGATTTCTAACTATACATCTACAAAGATATTTTGATCAAGTCAAGTTCTTTGGGCAGTGTGGCCCTGTATATATATATATATATATCACTCATCTTATTTTTTTGTAGATAAATAATAAAATTTTAATATATATATATATGAATTCAGTATAGGATTTTGACATTGTTTAAAAAGTCAAACATTTTTTTGGTCAAAAGTCAAACAAATTTTGTTTATAAGTAAGACAAACATAAATTTAATTTTGTAACCGACATAAGTCAAATGCTAAAACTATATATAATATGTCAATTACGAAAACAGGAGTTACTATAGATGCACGACGCAGAAGTGCAACGTGAAGAAGAGAGTTGAGAGATCTTATCAAGATCCAACAGTCGTGATCACAACCTACGAGAGTCAACACAACCATCCGATCCCGACCAGTCGCCGTACGGCAATGTTCTCTGGACCCGCCGCATGTAGTTATAACTCATCGTCTCTATCTCCAGTTTCAAATTTTATCATCAATACTCAAAGAACCTTCTCACAAGATGATCTCTTCGGTGCGCCATACGCTAGTATGAATGTAAACGCTAATTATCAGCAACAACAAAACCAAGAATTTCAGCGTGATTATGAGCTTTTGAAGGATATGTTTCCTTCAGTTTTCTTCAAGCAAGAACCTTGATAATATTGTTATCTTTTATATAGAAACAACATTGGACGCATAATAAGTGATGGTGTTATTTAATTTTGCATGTAGATATATACTCTTGAGACTATATAGGATATCGGAGAGAATGGTATACCAAAAGATCCTTGGCGAGTTTCTTTGATTAAAGGACATATAGACACTTTGCCCAAAACTCAAAAAACTTAACTTGTAACCATTATCGCTGAAACTCAAAAATAACTAACCCAAATCCCATCTAAACAACTCTGTCGCTCTCCAACTGAACATATAACTCCATATCAATCGATTTCGTCACTCTCTCCTCTTCAATTGATCGATTTTGTCGCCCTCCCTTATCTTATCTCTACCACCGTATCCTCTTCATCGGGAACAATTTGACTTCTTGGCCGGAAACGGTGGAGTTCTTAACAATTAAATTTTAGTCAACACATATGTGGTATTTTATTGTGGCCAGGATACACGTATAAATTAGGAACTATACATATAAAATACAAAAAATTCATCTGTGTACTCTTCCATTTTTTTTGGTCTTTTTCAATAAATTGCTAGGTCAGATGTACCGTGTGCACCGTACCCGTAGCACCTAACGAGTTTACGAATAAGGGTTTTTATGCGTTGGACAAACTACATAATATGTAAAAGTTCAATTTAACATACAGAAGATAGATGGAAGTACTAAAAGATACATCTATGATATTTTGGTACTTTAAAGAAAAAAAAACAAGGTACCGGTTAAGTCTGTTAACGTGGAGAGAAAACCCATGTCAGCTAAAACCGACCCCATTCAGGTAGTATAAATCTTGAACAATCGTCCCTCTCCTCTGCCCTAATTTATCTTCTCGCGACTAAACTGTAACGCCCCGATCGTCCACAGCTAATGGCAACCCACGCCCACTTTCTCAGCCCGTGGGCTCCATTCCGTTCCAACGGCCGGTTCGTTAATTTTCCAAGGCTCAGTTTTCAGACCCTGTAATCACCACATGAACTTTCCCCGTGCTTTGGCCTCACTTACACGGTATCGCGAATTACTTCCCGATAGGTCACCCATCATTTGACTACTCCAGCTCAAGCACGCTTAACTCTGGAGTTCTCTCTCGATGTTCTCCCGAAAATTTAAATGCACTTTGGTGACATAGGTAGTCAAATCAATTCTCTTAACCTTTTCCAAATACCACAAAACGGGATGTTACATAAACCTTATCCGATTATCGCTGCTAAAGTTATGTCATCCGAACCAGGTATAAGCTCTCTATCTCTCTCTGGGAATATGTCATAGATTATTTATGCGTATTATAAGTTAAAACCTTTTTCTCGCAGAATACTGCACGTGTGTGTTCTGAGACGTGGTGGATTTCCCTTTTCCTAAGGGTCTTTCTCCTGAAACGATATATCACATAATGAAATTAATTCTTGAGAAGATGGGTTGTATTAACCATTATTTGTCAATCATGGCTTATGTTAATGATTCGGAAACCTTCCCGGATAAATCAGCCAATGAGAAAGTCGGGATTAAAATCGTTATTCAACGAGGTGAGTGATTAATCTCCTCCCTCTCTATCTAATACTTATTAATATTAATAATAATAATGGTTTTTGTTATAATAATAAAGAATAATTATACGTGGACGTTGGTTTGTTTCAGAGAGACATCGTTTTATGATACGGGACATGGCATGGTGGGCAGCGGATTTGGATTTCCTCCCAAATTTTGACAAGATTACTTTTATGGCAATCTTGAGTCAGATTGAACCGAGTTTCCTGGTTTTTCTTGAAACCCTGAGTAGCTACAAGATTCACTTAGCAGTCCCTGATGAAGATACCTTCCGATCCCTATCATCATCACCCTGGCTGCCACATGATACTGTTAGGTTCGGATGTCTTTACAAAGACCTATTACAAATTACTGAAACCGTACCAGAGGTCGTCCCTCTATTTTATCCTCCCATCCAATTCACCCCCCCCCCCGCCTCTATATTATGCTTCCATCCAAACCACCCTGCCCACTCCTCCACACGAACCCAATCCCAATAAATATTGCCCAGGTGTCTTCTTGGACCTGCTGGAATCCCTCGTGTTGACTTGTGATCCTTATTGTTTTATTAGCTACATTAGAAGGTCGTTGTGTATCGATGGTGAGTTTTCAATCATGAGTTATGTTGATGATACTGAAACCTCTTTCCCGGAAGGATGGGTTGATGCTTTTACAAGATCCGGAGTCACCATCATTCCCCAACAAGGTGAAAATTAATAATCACACTTACATGTAAAAGAATGTGAAGATAAAATATTTAGATGAAGAACATTGAAGAACAAAAGATGAGATATTTTGAAAAGGAGAGAGAGAAAGTAGATCTGGAAGAATTCACTTTTTCTTATTGTATTTTAATATCAGGTACATGTCTTTAAATAGACAAACAAGTGGACAAGGAAAAATAATAAAACAAATAGGAGAGAGAGAGAGATCTGAGTGTGCTTTATAAACCCTTATAAAACCTCAAGTCTGGCATTTCTCAAGTCTAGCACCTTGTCTGGCATTTCTCAAGTCTAGTATCTTAATTTACTTCATGTCAACACTCCCCCTCAAGCTTGACCATGTGGAACAAGTCAAGCTTGGAAGCCATAAAGTATTCCCTCATTAAAACTCAACTAGGTAAAACCCTTTAGGAGAAAACCCAAGTCAAGGAAAAAGAGTAGAACACTTCATGGAGGAGAGATTAGAGACATGAGAGGTCTATGAGTCCCAATCTTGGATGGATAAACTCACATACCTTAGTGCTTGCTGCCTTGGTGAAGATATCAGCTAACTGATCTTCACTCCTTGTGTAGCAAGGCAATATGATCTTCTGCTCCACGGCCTGTCTCACTTTGTGGCAATCTACCTCTATATGTTTGGTCCTTTCATGGAAGACTGAGTTGCTAGCAATATGTATAGCAGCCTGGTTATCACAGTGCATAGTGATTGGCGTTGTAACTTCAATTCCCAAATCCTTAAGAAGTCCTTTGATCCAAATCAACTCACTTGTGAGCTTTCTCATAGTTCTATATTCTACTTCAGCACTAGAACATGACACCACCTTCTACTTCTTGCTCTTCCATGTTACCAAATTACCTCCAATGAAGGTACAATATCCAGTAGTTGATCTCCTATCAACTCTGTCTCATGCCCAATCAGCATCACAGTACCCAACAATCTCAGTGCTTCTATTGCATCCCATCCATACTCCTTGGCCTGGTGCCTCTCTTAGGTACCTGAGAATCCTCTCCACCATGTTCCAGTGGTGTATCTTGGGAGCGTGCATGTGTTGGCTTACTTGGTTTACTGCAAAGCACACATCGGGTCGGGTAATGGTAAGATAGATGAGTTTTCCCACCATTCTTCTATAGTGCTTTACATCTTCATATGACTTGTCTTCAGTCTCCCCCTCGCGCATCACTTTGTATCCTTCCTCTAGAGGTGTTTTGGTAGCTCTTCCACCAAGATCTCCAGCCTCCTTTAGTAAGTCAAGAGTGTATTTCCTTTGAGATAGAAACAACCCTTCCTTAGACCTACACATTTTGATACCTAGGAAGTATTTGAGCTCTCTTAAGTCCTTGATGTCAAATGAATCCTTAAGAAAAGCTTTGGTCGATATGATCCCTCCTTTGTCCCTGCCCGTGATGATGATATCATCAACATAGATGAGAATGACAATGATTCCTTGCTGGCTTTTGAGAGTGAAGAGAGTGTGATCAGCCTCAGATTTGACAAATCCTCTTCCATTGAGTGTGGTGCTTAGCTTGTGGTACCAAGCTCTTGGTGATTGTTTCAAGCCATATATGGCTATCTTCAGCCTCAATACATTTCCTGGTTTGGTAAGATGTTCCATACAAGGTGGTGGTCTCATGTAAACCTCATCTTCTAACTCTCCTTGTAGAAAAGCATTCTTGACATCCATTTGCCACAGATCCCATTCTAAGTTCACAGCCAATGAGAGAACAATCCGTATGGTGTGAAGTTTAGCTACTGGTGCAAAGGTGTCAAGGTAATCTTCACCATAGACTAGAGTGTAGCCTCTTTCAACAAGTCTGGTTTTTTTTTCTTTCCGGTTGCCCATTAGCCAAGTACTTGATAGTGAATAGCAACATGCTTGTGACTGCCTTCTTGCCTTTGGGAAGCTCACTTTTAAACCAAGTTCCATTTCAGATCATGGCACTGACTTCATCATCTACTGAGTCTCTCCATTCTTTTATCTCCATTGCCTCCTCATAGGTCCTCGGAATATACTCTTGATCTATGTTGGTGATGAAGGCTTGATGGTCACTTGGATAACAAGCAAGGGAACAAGTTGCTTGAGTGGGATGATCAACTGCTTGGTTGTTAAAGTACACTCTTGTATTGACCCATTTTGATGGTTTTCTCACCCTTGTGCTTCTCTTAAGCGGCTGGATTTCTTCAACAATCTCAGCTTCATTTTGTTGATCTGATTCCTCTTGATGTTGGCTTTCATCCTGATCATGAACCTCTTGCTCTTGATCAGTAGTCTGTGGATCCTTTTGACCCATGTATGGTTCCTCTTGGCCAGTAGACGAATCCTCTTGATTCCCCCCTTCAGGATTAGGATGAGAAGCCTCTTCAGCCCCATCCATACCATTTCCTTGACCTGAACTATCTGCTGAACTAGTAGTTCTTTCATTTGGTGCCATGTTGATACCAAGGCTCTCCATGATAATATGTAGGTTGTTTGCTCTATCTGAGGCTCCTTGTGATAGATCCTTGAGATTGTCCCAGCTCTTCTCCTCATAATAGCCTCTAGATTCCACAAACTTGACCTCTCAGGATACTAAAACTCTTCTTGTCTCGGGAGAGTAACATTCTTAACCTTTTTGAGTGCTAGAGTACCCAATGAACACTGCCTTTGTGCTTTTGGCCTCAAGTTTGTTCCTATGATCACCTGTTTGCAACACATAACACAAGCAACCAACTACCCGTAAGTGGTCAATATATGGTTTTCTTT